ATAGCCGAATGGCTGCTTCGTTTCAAGGTCTATTTCCATGGCATGGTTGATGAAATCTTCCATCCAGGTTGTGGCAGCGCCTTCCTTGAAGAAGGAGAGGGCGAAGCAGATCTTTCAGTGTTGCGTATGTAGATCTGTTCATTAGTGGTATTCAGAGTTAAAAAAGATAAAGAAAAGACAACACTTGGAAAGTTGGACAACATTATTGAAACTCCGAATTATAACTCCGTTTTGCTTACACATCACTGTCATACTACGCTGATAAGATCACCGTGACTATGCCTTGCATATCGCTGTTAAGAACGTGCTCAAGGGTCGGATCCGAAGGGCTTGGCTTCAGCTCGTGCGCTGCGCCCCTTACCCGAGTACGTGCCCCTAACTTCCGAGGGTTGTCGAACGATGTCCGAAGGTTACCGGACGATGTCCGGAGGGCGTCGGGCGATGTCCGGAGTCCGATGTCCGATGCGCGGGAATTCCGGCGGACGTTCGGAAACAAGAGATAAGACTAATCCGGACGAAGTCCGAACTAGAAAGGAAACAGCGGAGGACTACCAGAGGTAGAGGCGGAGGTGACAAGTCTATAGGAGTCGATCCTAAGACGAGCGGAGGTCGACGAGAGAGAAACTCAAGTCGGACGGAGGAGGGAATGAGCAGAGTTTAAGATGATATTCGAACTAAGGATGTACATAGATTCTACAGGGTTTATATACTACTGAGGACTTATCGGAGAACAGAGATGCGCAGTCCGAAGCTATACAAAGCTGTGGACGGAGCGTATAGAAAAGTCAAACACTAGTCTATCGGAAAATAGTAAATGAACCCGGAGATTAGAACAGATGAAAATAAAGGCGGAAATGAAATGAGGTACGGAAAATGATATAGTCTAACTGGAGTAGGAATGTACAAAGGGATAAGGCACGGAAGTTAGACGCGGGTCGGATCCGGACATAGATAGATGTCGGCCGGATCCGGACTTCCGGAAATGATGTGTGTGATAGGTCCGGGTCCGGAACGCGGGATATGACAATCGCTTCTAAAACAACAACTACGAGCCCTCAAAATACACACGATGACCTTATATTAGCTCGCTACATCGAGCTTGTGCAACATGCACTTGATGAGCTCCTTGAAGAACCAGATTCCGAAGATGACAGTTACAGCATCTCCTCAAATGACAGCGGTGGATCCCTCAGCATGTCAGTTTGTTCAATGTCGTCGGATACATCTTTGAACTCCCTGATGTCGGATATCACAATCACAAGTGCCTACTCAATCACATCCTCCCAGCTCTCATCAGATGGGCCACAGATGGCCGGTCGAGCCTTTACGGAGTTTATAGATGCTGTTCATGCTTTGGCTGATGAAGTAGAGACCAGCTGTGTTCTTAATGCGAGACCCAAACTTAGCCGCGCCCCACAACTGCACCTGCTGCCAGAATGGGGTATGCATGCCCCTGATAAATTTTGCTGAAAGCTTCGTGTGTCCCCTGCTGTTTTCGACAAACTCATTGAACATATCCAGCCACACGCGATTTTCTACAACAATTCGAACAACCCACAGCTTCCTATTCCTATTCAACTCGCGATTTTTCTCAATGGCATAGGCCACTATGGAAATGCTGCCACGACGCAGGATTTGGCTGAATGAGCAGGAGTGTCCGTCGGAACCGTGTACAACTGTTTCAAATGAGTGATGATTGCAATTTTGAAGCACCATGACGATGTGATCCATTTTGATCCGCTTGACCGAGAAGATCAGAAGGAACAGAAGAGGGCACAACAGTGGGTTGAGGGGAGGACATGCCGGGAATGGTGCGGTGGCTTCCTCTGTGTTGATGGCACTCCTTTCAACTTATTTCAGAAGCCTGGGTGGCATGGGGAAGGGTTTTTCGATAAAAATTTGAATTACTCTCTTACTGCTCAGGTACGTTAATTTTTCTTCATTTCATCAGACGAGCTTACACCTTCTAAAGGTCGTTATTCTCCTGCACAATCTCTGTATTGTTGACTATGTGATTGGCGTACCTGGTAGCCTTCACGACTCAAACATTTTTGGACGAACGAGGGTCGCACGAAACCCAGATGATTTTTCGGTGCAAACCAGTGGCTGTGGGCTGACTCTGCGTACACTTCGCAAGTATGGTGTGTCACACCATTCAAATGACCCCCTGGGGGGCATTGACGAGGGACCAGAAAATGTTCAACTATCACCTTTCTAAAGTAAGTAGCCCCTCTTGTGGATGAATGGCTTTGGAATATCGTTCTCCTCAATCACTTACATATTTGTAGGTCCACATTCAGTCTGAACACTTTTTCAGTTCTATCAAGGGCCGATTTCAGAGCCTACGGGAGCTTCGGTTTCCAATCCAAGGCAAGAAAGAACTGGATTACTCCAACATGTGGATCCGCTGTTGTCTGATTTTGCACAACTTGATTATTGAGATCGAGGAGACTCTCGGCATTGCAAGTACCAGTAATGATTTTTATGAGGAGCTGACTGGGCAGAGGATGGATCTGAATGTGGACGAGGACGAGGACGAGGCGGGGCAGGGCGATGAGACTTATATTGGAACAGCGGTGTCATGCATGATATGGATATCATACATGGACATATTCATATATATATATAAAAGCCTACAGCAATCGAGCCTATTAGCTTTGTCCATGGGAGGCTTGCTTAGAGGCGATATATAGGAAGTTGAAGAAAAGAAGCAGAAAGACTTGAGTAATTTGTATTAGGATCTGGTTTAATTTTGTTTGCTGAATGTCTGAAGACTGTGTTTCTTACATAATCTTTTTCATTGGTCTATGATTGCAATTGTTTATTCATGTTTCATATTTATGAGTTATTTACATTCATCATGCTAGTTTTCTCTTCTAGGGAAAAACTTACATAATGAGTTTTCATGTGATTATTCAGAAAATTGGCAAGATCAAGCTTAGTCAAATCTGATAACTCATGAACTCTCTTTCTCTGCTCAATTTGTCGTCTAGCACCACTATTTGCATATTGGTGATCAGATCGATCGGACTGAGTCAGTTCTATTTTTATTTTAATAGTATACATGTAATATTTAATTACAAATAAGTGGAGCAGGATATTCCAGATATTCATTTGGCACCTAGGTATCTTTCCCACGCCAAATGTATAAAAGGAGGGCCTCTTCTCCACTGAATAAGAGGAGATTTTCCACTTTATCTGTCTCTCACAGAGGAGAATTCCCACTTCACCTGTCTGTCACAGGAAGTGCAAGGGACCAGTATTTCCCTCAGTTAGTCTACACTAAGATTAGGTAATCTTAGTCTTGTATTTACTCACTATTGTTAGACTCCAGCTAGTCTATCACTTGTATTTAGTTATCTAGTCCTTAGGTGGTCTAGATCTGTTGTATTCTTGTTGTGATTACATCAGCAAGGATTTGTCTGGGAAAAGCTTAGTCAGCATTCCCATCTTTTGTTTGCAAGACCTTTCAGCCACAGCCTGAGGTCCAGCTTAGTCATAGGTTCTCACATCCTTCCAGCTTGAAGTATCTTTGTGTTCAGCCTACTCATTTAGGATAGTTTCTTATATCACTGTCCATTACCTTCTTCAATATATTTCAGTGACTCTCATAGGATTTTACCTATACTAGTCATTGTCTATCTTATTTCAGCAGTCCATCGCTTCAACCAAACGACTGACTGTATAGTCTTGCCTCCAACGAACAGCACGTTATCAACTGAGAAGTAGAAAATCCGTTGACCGTGTACTTGAGGAGTTGGCAGCTTTTGTCTTATCAAAGTGTAGTTGTGGTGTCACTGCATTTTACACGAAAACATATAAGACCCTCAAGTAACAAGACAGCGGGACAAGAATTTTGGAATGCTTTAATGGCACATTTACTTCTCATGCTCCAGTAGATGTAGTGGCAAAATTTGTGTATTAAAACACTGGCAGTACTCAAACAACATCTAATTATCAACAAAAACGCAACAAAGATAATGTGTGAAGTAACAAACTGAGAGGACATGCAACAAGCAATGCACAAAGATGACAACACGATACTCAACCTTGGTCTGGCAAGCCCCGCTCCATTGTAATACACCGAATCCTTGCCTCCTCCTCTTCTCAACATGCACAGGTGAGCTCAAGCTCAAGCCTTGCATGCTCCAGTTGGTGACCCATGAGCTCATGTCTGTGTAAGTGGTCTTGCTCAGCAAGACACATAGCATGTTCTCGTTCATTGTGAGCATTGCGCACTTTGAGTTCCCTAGCCCACATGTCACTCTCAATGAGATTGGAGTGATGGGTGGGCGAAGACGCAGCAAGGAAGTGTATGAGCCTGTAGAGGCAGATCTATGAAAAAGACTGGGGGTCGATGATGAAGAGCTGGAGAAAACTGGTGCTTGTTGCATGTGGAGGAACCGATCTGACTGTTCCATCACAATATTGTCATCTACTTGTCCTGCAGCATTTGCATCGGTGGTGTCAATGGGATTGATATCTTCTTGACAGGTGTCGACATTTGTATCAACATCACCCGTATCAATAATCTCCCCATCTTCGATATCAGCATCCTCTGGTGGTTCATTTTCATCGGCAGGGAGTTGTGCATCCTCACGGTCAGGCACACGGAAGTGTTGTAGCGCAGCAGATTCATGGTTTTGCCCAGGGTCAGCAGTTGAGAATACAGTGTTGTAGGCAGGATTTGTCCTCCACCAACCATGAAGGTCTGGCCACCATGGGAACTTGTTCAGTTGCGAATCTGCAAGAGATAAATAAACAAAAGTACAATTGAGAGACATGCACGAGAAAAACCCACCGATGAGTGTCTTGGTCTGCGGGTTATTCTGTAGCTCATCATATGTCAATACGGTGCCTGTCTGCTTGAGGAACTTGTTGAATTCATTGTATTTTCATTTGAGCCTGAAGCATCTGATCAGTAATGAAACAGTATAAATTTGTAATTCACAACAGACACAAGAGGATTTCGGAGGTACTCACATTCCGAATCGAGTCTGGACAAGCTTAATCAAAGTGCCAGGCTTTGTCCGGAAGAGGCGCCGTACTTCAGGATCCTCGTCATTTGAAAATATAGCATTTGCAAGCTGCAAGTAGTATGTTTCCTTTGGAGTACCGCTCTGCTTCTTCTTCCTCCCCTGGTCTTTGGTGTCCTTCACAGAATCGGAGAAGAGTTTTATGCATTCATCATCATTAGATTTGCACCAGGCGATTAGCCGAGAGGTGCGAGCACTGTAAGCCCCCTCCCAATAGATAGCCAGCTTCTTTATGGTGTTGGGAGCAGGACTGATCTCAGGTTGTGGCCCATCATCTTCATTTGCTGGTACAACCGTACTTGCAGGAGCTTTCCCCTTTGCTCGTCTGGATTGTGTTTGACTGTGATTTCCTTCAGCTCGACCTCTAGCAGCATGTGCCATCTTCTAAATGGTTCCCTGAGAACAAAGAAAGTGACAAATAAAGGGTGATTGGGGATCAGATAATACCAGGAAGGTCGACAGCGACAACAGCATTGATGGCTGGTTGATGGGCAGGACGGCGGTCAGAGGCAGGGCGGAGTTTGAAATGTATACCATGCTGCTGGTGTTTGGCTCTCATTTCTCAGCACAGGTGCAAACTTTGAATACTGCTATTGATGTCTAGATAAAGATGGACAAGTCATATAAATCTAGAGGAGGTGTCCCTTTCTTCATTGAAGTCAGGGGGAGTGCTGATTTTCTTTTCTACTGGTTTAGGCATATCATTGTCGGAGTCTTCTTCATCAAATGGTTCTTCTTTAGGGTCTGGTGGGGGAGCTTTGTATCTCGCTCTATATCTGAGTTTGGTTTCTGGTGCGTTAGGAATTTCTCCATCTTCGTCTGCTACAGCTGGTGTAGGGTCGGGGTCAGGTAGAACTGTGAAGGGTCCAATAGATGATACAGTGGTTCTGGCTTGGACTGATGATGGCCCAGGTAGCTTCAAGAATATGGGAAGGGGTTCGGTGGTGTCTGAGGTCTGTTTAATCTGGCTGTCAAAGTCAGAGATCTGGGGTAGGGGTTCAATCCAGTGGCTTCACTGAATGTGTGCTGTTGCTTCTGTGAGGCAGGCATCTTGGTCAAGTATAAGCTCCGCTAGATAGCGGGGGTTCAAAGTATAACTTGAATCTTTTGTTACAAACTCAGATAGAGTCTTCCGTAACAGCTCCAATAAAAGAGATCAAGAGTTACGGTATCAGGTAACAACGACCAGAGGTAGAACTCTGGCGAAGTGATCGAGTAAAGGCTAGTCTCTTCCCAAAGAGCTAGATCAGAGGCACCCTCAGGTCCTAGTCAGGTATCAGGGAGAACTGAGTAGATTCAAGTTAAGGAAAAGTACAGGTAGTAGCTAGGGTGTATATACGTAAAGAGAAGTGCACAGACCAGTCCATGAGGCATTGTAATAGTACAGAAAGAGGAAGTCAGAGATAAGGAAAATCCTCATGGTCGACATGAGGTATGCTAGAAGTGAAACGGGGATCAAGAAGTATAGTACATGTGTGGTCCTGCAGGTGATGATGGGAAAATGATGGGGTTACTGTAACAGCATTTAGTTGAAGAACTACAGTATACTTGCTCATAACACATAACACCAGGACTCCTCCAAGGCTATGTGTTATCAGCACTTATGCATAATGGGATTGTGTGACATAATGTGACACATTGTGACATGTTGTGACCTCTGTCAAGTTGCAACTCATTTGATGACTTCTAGCATCACAAACTTAATGTTATGGACCGAAGTATGAATTTAATGTTGTCTGTGTTGCCCCATGAATCTCCTCTCTGCGTACACAAGCCCTAAATGCCCGCAACTGCTTTGATAGATAAAATGACTGGCCAAAAGACCAAAGCCTCTGTGATTTTTGAAGTGCATGACAATCTCAGCTTGCAACTGATTGGGATGGATATCAATGTATGCAAAGACAGTGAGCCAGTCATTTAAGATGAGATTTTTTCAAATGTTGGTTTTGTCGGGTTTAGCTGAGGTGGCAGGTGCATCTTTAGTCTTTGTGACCTGTTTTGAGCATTGTTTGTATGGTGCTGGCTTCTCCCACGACTTGTGGGTCTGGCTGTGTGGCATGTTTAAGGAGACAGAAGACAGGTTTGTGACACCTGCATACCCTTTAGGTAGTCTAAACTACTGATTAGTAGGTACCAACATTGACCAATGCTGACCCAAATGCAACCCAGCCCTCCAAGAAGGCTTCTAATAATGCATAAAGCTCTTTGAAGACTTATGCATTATGTGTTATGCATCATGCATGCATATTACCTGTGTTCCACAGTGGGACCCACCCAAAGTCCATGCATTACAAGAATAATGCATTATGAGACTATGCATTATGAGCAAGTGTACTATACTGGCATTTTGACAGATGTAACTAAATATCCATCAATCTGTATTAATCTGCATTAAAAGTATTTATAAAAGTTAGCAGGAAAACATGAAGTAGTGATAAGATGAAGGAGTGATCATGACCAGGGAGTGTAAGAATTAACGAGTGTAGGAAAATTAAAAGGGTATAGGGCCAGAACACAGACTGCTCAACTGTTCAGATACCAACAGTAAACTCTTGGAGAAGGAGATCACGGCTCTTAAGCATCATCTCTGTATCGGCACGAGCATTGATAGCATCCATGCTTTTCCTACCAGAAGTATCAGTTGAGAACAGGTTCAAACATTAGATAAACTTATGTTTGCAACTCAAGTAACACTTCCTCCATGCCTTGCTTCTTCGGAACCTTGGTAATGCGCTGCTTTGCCCTCTCAAGAATATCCTGAGACATCAATGAGGGTTTTGGAGGATGTCTCACTGGTATAACTTGAGACAGCAGTGAAGCATTCTCCTTCTCGCCATCATCATATCCTAGATCATCATGAAACATATCAAGAGCAAAGGGGTCTTGTGAGGACTCAAAGGATGGAGACAGCTCATGATAGGGAACTGCTGCTGTCAGAATATCATGCAGTAACTGCATCTGCATGTGCTGAGATGGCGTGAACGGGGGAACATCATCACCCTCATTATTGCTTGGAGGCTGAAAGTGAAGAGTTTTTTTTGCCATATGGCCCAACACCTGTAGTCACTGCAATTGGAGTGATGTTTGGATGAGATGAAAGAATTCAGTGTAGAACAGGAAAGAATGGGAATTTGGCAACAATTTCATCTATTCAAACAATCAAATCAAGCATACAAAAATATACAGGAAATCATACCCCAGATGCTCTATATCTTGATGGTGGTTGTTGAAAGGTCCACCCACAGTGACATAAGAGTTGAAGAACTCATTTTCAGAGGGGTTATCTTCCACATCAGTACCACGAATCCTCTCACCAGTGGTTCTGAGATGTTTGCCATGTTGCCGATATTTCCGTGTTAAGCTATGTGCAGTGTGAGTCCCTCATATGATGCAATCTAAAATGAAGTAACATACTGGTTATACTTCCATTTGACAGTTTTGCCTGTTGCTGTCAGATTGAGCTTGTAGCTCTCAGGTAAGACAACAGCTCTGATCCATTGAAATACTGTTATCTTGCTGTCCCCAGACATATTCTGCTTCAATGTTAAGAACATAGTATATGCAAGTATTTAAAACTAAATATCACCTCCTTCTTTTCCTGCTTGCCAAGCAACACCAGCCTGTTATTGTCCTTTTTAACCTCTGACAGTAGGCTCCATGTCATGTCTTTAGACCAATGAACATCCGGAATAGCAGGGGCAGCATCCTTCTTTGGCATGGTGCTGACACTGGAAGATATATCTTAGTGGCTGGCAAAGTACTACAGTGCGACTGTCAAATGCGACTGACTGTCAAACAGACATGTTTTGACTTGTTTGCTCGACAGTAAAAATCAGTAAGAATGGGGGTGTAAGCGTAAGCAACGATAAGCATAAATGTGAGCATTAGCCATGGGTCTCGCTGCATTTTTCTTTGTAATGTTTTTTTGACAGAAACAGCAGACAGAGCAACTTGTCTTAGGGAAAAACTGTGAAAATCAACCTAAAAATTGTTATCATCACTAGTTTCTATCTTATTATTGAGTTTGGTCAAATTCAACTAAGAATATGGCTAAATCATCCAAAACTGTTTGACTCACAAATAGGAATAAACTGACTCTTTATGTGACTTCAACCAAGACTCAGTTGACTCAAACTACTGTTAGGCAGTTTATATCTCATATCTACTAACTACAATCACATTTATTTAGGTCAGTTTTGATTTTGTGGCATAGTCAAAATGGCTCTGTCTTTCCATGAAGTTAGCATCATATTTTCAATGTGTCTCATCACTGTCATTATGGACACTAACTGAAGATGCAACACCTTTGACTCCTGCTTAATCTATATATTTGGTATTTCTGCCACCTTCAAAATAATGAAACAGTTGAATAGTTATTGCTAAGTTAGATATGTCACCTTAGGTAAGTATGCCATTTGACAAAACAAAGGTGTTCTCTATAAAAAGTTCAAGTACAAGGTTATATCCAACACTGAAGTAGACTTAGTCATTAAGCTTTTTGGAAAAGTCAACAAGAAGCAAAACTTATGAAAAACTAGGATTACTTCTAACATTTATAAAATTTAGTAGCCCTAAAATTCAACTAAGACTTTAAGATCCTTTTATCCTCAGCTAAATGTTACCTTCCATTTGATGATTTCACTTTCCTCATAGATATGTTACTATATCCTACATCTGTCATTGTTGCTGGCTATATGTAGCACAAGAAAACCCACCAATTGACATAAACATACTTGTAAGCAATTTTTTTAAAATGCTTAATATTAATAGTATAAACGTTATTTCCAAACATCGACATGAATAATATAAATAACATTATGAAAAAAGACCTAGTCAGGATACATGACTACCTTTTTACTCTTCTCCAAGTGTTAGATTCTTAGTGGAATATTAGCTTCATTAGGTAGCATGATCTTGTATCTTATATTAAACTTGACTAGGATTAGTGTCATAACAACTTCCTGGTTGTAGCTGAGGAAACTATGCATATATAGTACATAGAGTAGTACCATACTAAGTTAAAAAATTGTGTAAACTCTGGTGGTAATTTGGTCTTTAGCTATATGGATGATTATGCAAGAAATGTTGTTCTTGATATAGCATTCACATTACATGCCAAAAAGACATATAGATGATGTCTCTTTGAAAGATATGACATTCTTAGTGTCTGACTCTAAAGATTAGTAATGTTAGTATGTAATGCTATTTAGATTCTGCCATTAATATATCTCAGTGATAGAAAGTGGAATGTCTATAAATATCAATAACTGAGGTTAAGCTTTTACTGCAATATAACATTCACTAGCTTTGATTTTACAGTCTATGTTATGCATTGATTCCCATCACAATCTCATGCAGAACACAGATACCTCTTATATTCCCTTACATAGCTTACACATTCTTGCTGGACCATTATAGTACTTTGTTTCTTTATTGCTCAAGGTCTGTGTATCTCTACACATTCAAACACTCAAATTGCACCTCAATGAGAACCTCTGGTATTTACTTCTATTTACTTATTTATGAAATTTGCTATTCTGTTACTCACAGATCAGTCAATTCAATTGATGACTACGCATCTCGAGTTTGTTGTAAAGTTTATATTTCAAGATGAGCACTTATCTTTTGATTGTTACTCACTACCCATTATGTCATGGTGAGGCAATCAGCTATTGTAGGTTAACATCAACTAGCAATATATCACATATAATCCTTCCAGTTCTCACTCAGATTCTGGTTTCGCTTATGGTGATCAACTTAATGATTATGGTACTTATCAGATTCAATCAATATGGCTCCTATCTTAGCCACAGCTACTTCATACCCACCATCATGTAGCCCCACTACCTCTAGCAAGTTTAATGAGTTTGACTCAGGCCGTAAACCACTACTCATCATGGGCCCTGCACCAGCACTAGCAAAATGGTCATGGGCTAGCTACTATAATGTACCATCAATCATGGTCTCCATCACCGCAGGGTCTTGATTATGGGCTAGCCACAGCTAACCAGAGTCAATTGTACTGGCAGCCATTGCCCTTTGGGCAATACCTACCTCAGCCTGTTACTGCCTACCCCATATCCTAGCATTTATACTATCAGTTGGGTTTACAGCACTTTTTTGCTATCTTGCAGCCTCTCTTCAGCCCTACTCACATAAACTCACCCCTCCTTGGGCCAACTCATCAGACTAACCAGAATCATAAGTCTCAGCCTGAGGCTCCAGTTTCATCTGTCAAACCATTCATATTTAACAATATATCATATCATCTAAATTTCTCTAGTCCTTCCTTTGCATCCTATCAGATTTTTGATGATATATCCCAACATGTAACTCTCACTGCACCCCAACACCACCATTTGAATAAGCTGAAAAACAATACTTCAGCTCTGTCAGAAATAACATACATCAATGAACTTCTTCTTGGTCATCCAGACCACATTTGATATAAACTTGGAGAATATGTTAAGATAGGAGTGAAGTGGGCCACTTCTAGAGGCTACTGAGAGACCAGAAGAGATCAGACTAGAGTCCAGAGTAAGTTGCCAATCTATTGAATGGTGTAGTAGAGTTGTACAGTACCTAGAGTCCAGAGTAAGTTGCCAAAGAGGCAGGGAGCACTGGACTCTGGGATATGGGCAACATATGACAAACAAATGTAAACAGACAAGCCACAATCAAAAGGTAAGTAATAACTCGACCTAGGGATGTTCTAGGGAGGTTAGGAAGTCATGTAAATATTAAGTAAAGTGTCAGGAATAATACTATGAGTATGAAGGCACAATAAGACATATAGAAGACATAGAAATGCATACTGTAGAGGTAAATGATCATATAACTAACAGAATATTGGTACCAGTAAACAAGGATGGTTGGTATGTAAAATCAAATATGATTATAGAGTTTGAGTTGCCATAATGATAATTGATACCTTTACTATGCCTGTCCAAACAGACTCAGATGCCTCCATAACATTAGCACTATGCTCTAGATTAAAATTGATTTCAAAATAATTTGAGCCATAGCCCATCACTTAAAGTTCAGCTGGTTTGTTTCTTTGGTTTAAGCATGACTTCCTTGACTCTCTTGCTATGAGGTCTACAGCAGAGAGATGTAGTAATAATCCTGCTGGTGCTTAGACTTCTAGTGTCTTTGGAGGATCTGAAAATATTAGGGGATATATTGATGGCAACTATGTCAACCTTCGGCAGATGTTATCTAACTACACAATAGTCTTATGTTGAGTTTTTTTTTATCCTCAGTCAGCTATAGAATACATTTCATTTGAGCTTAGTTATTACTGGTTACAAGAAGAAGGTAATACTGCAGGTATGGATATCAACTTCACTGCTCACAATGATAAGATGTTTACTTCTTTGAATTCTTTCATGCCTAACAGGGCTTCCCTCCATAAAATTTATGATGCAGATTGTTCTTATGATTTCAGTTGTACTATGCTCAATTATTGCAAATGACAAACCAACCAGTACTTAAAGCAAACCTATTCACGAAAAGTCCTTATAAATATAGCAACTGTGCTGTGTCCCACACACAGAAAATCATTGGAACATGAATTACACCTTTTCAATGTTTTGACAGACAAAATAAGGGGAAAATTCTATCTTCTCAATCAATGTTTTTTGGATGTTTGGTGAAGAAAAATGGGAAAATGCCTGCAGTGTAAGGGCATTGATGTTGTGCAACTTCAGAATCTAAGACACATGCATGGGTGCACTGTCAGTGCGAGTGTGTCATTCATGAGTATGACAAAACACTCACAGAGATCAACAAAGGTCCCATCATGAGGAATTCTGCGAACACCAGAATCTTCTGTGTACCCATGGTCATGAGTTGAGGGAGGTCGTTGTTGATGGCATGGAGGCTAATGAAATCCGGGTCCAGGTCCTCATCATACTCATTATCCAGCTTTTCCTATTCCTCCTCCATGAGCTCTTTGTCGGGGTCCTTATAAATACTATTGTCATCAGAAACCAAATGCCACCGCAGGACGGTTATCAGATAGTCCACCTTTGTTAATTGAACTTCATCGTATTCATCATGATCTGCCACAGGCGGGTAATTTGGAGAATTGTGATATGGCAAGGTGACCTGTATCTGGCCCTCCATATAAAATATCTGTGAAATGATCATCAGTGTCGGCTCCTCCAAGGGACCACAGTAATGAACCCATCTGGCTAAATGCACCAACATCATCGAGATTGAGCTTGCCCCTGTGGAGAAAGTGACAGCTTGTCAGCAATGATCTGGTCCCTATAGGGAGCCTCAAACTCACCTTCCAGCCAGGCTGTCCATGCCACTTTGGGCAATCTGATGTTCTGGGTCTGGCAGGTGGACCAGAAAGATGACCATGATGATGTATGGGGGCAGACTGTCATTAATCCTCCTGCTGTCAAACCAAAGAGAGTCTACCATGTGTCGAATGACCCTATTGCTAAACTCACATTTAATTTTTCTGATCCAGATGGTCGTCAGCTTCCAGACCCAAGTCTTGGAGGAAGGCTCCTCATATACGCTCTTGGAGCCAGCAAGTCATTGAATCGTGTGATGGACCACAAGCTTCTTATCTTTTTTGGTGATTATGTGTCACGCCATGCCCAATTGCTTCCAGTGAGTGCTCTCAAAGTTGTCTCCCTGTTGACTGCTGAAGTGAGGGATCTGGAGGACACGACCGATGTTGACCAGCAATAATGTGAATACCAGCCTCATGGCCAGGCCGATGACTCTTGGTCATGTACCTTTGGGCTGGTGAACAGTGGAGTTACAGTCGTGATTAACCAAACATGTGACCCCCTCATCAGCAGCAGCATAGCATACCACCCAGCATTGGGATTCCAGAATTCATGAGCTTCATCAAGGGTGCAGGACACATAGGCTCGGAAGCTCCAGATGCAATTTCTTTCCAAATGGGGCAGTTTTACATGTCTTGTTCCATCCACCACCTTATTAAGATTGTGACTGACTCTGCCCATGCGAGTGTTGAACACTTAATACCTAGCATGCATGGCACCCATTAACACACAGGCCTGATGTCCAAATATAAGAGGAACAATCGACTGACCAAGTGTCTGCCAGATCTTCTTGACAATTAAGGCGATAGCAATGTGTTGATGCCACAGAAGGCTCAGTGGCTGCATGTCCGGGTTGCCTTCTACAAACTCCTTCTCAGCACTGTCGTTCCAAGCAGATTTCTGGCTTACAGATCTGAAATGGGCAAAGAGAGCCAGCCACCCATCAGGAAAGTACAATAATCTATTCAAGGCTACATCATATAGCAAGAGAAAATTGTTGACACCCAAGTTGTTGGAGCCCTCCCACAAGGTATCTTTAGTCTTGTCCTCCAAATCTATGGCCAGAGCGTCCAGCTCAGTGGGGATGGTACAATATAGTTGCACATACACCGGCCAAATCAGGTCAACATCCCCAGCCACACTCAATGACACATTCTTCACCTTGCTCACACAGACCCAACCTTGTGATTCTGATGAATGTAGATTCAATAACCTTTACAACAACAAACAATGTATGAAAGCAGATCTACTCACTAGCACTCCCTGATGGCTCCTTAGCATTGCTGATCTCTGACACTAATTTCTCCTTTGTGATGCCTTTGGCCTTGCCACAGCAGTCACCACAATATTCTTCAAGAATTCCTCCAGTTCAGCCACACACCCTGCACCTTCTCGACTTCCAATGGAAACCACTTGATGCTCTGGCTGGACATCTTTACAGTATTTGTGGCCCTCCGTAGCATCTGGGGAGTGACTTTCTCTTGGTCCTCGATCACTGCCTGGGTGCATCATATGATCCAGTAAGCAATACATTCTACGGTACGGTGAAGTCACCTACACTTACAGGCGCCTCAGGCCCAATGTCTTTTCTGTGCGCTTAAACACCTTCCAGTGCTGTTCCCAGTTATGATGAATGATGAGATTGAAAGCCTCACAAAATTCTTCTCACAAACCTTTCTTAACCAAGTTATCACTAAAGAGAGCGATCACAATGTCTTCTCTCACCACATCCGTGTCGGCAACGTTCGGATACCCCTCCTTTGGATTTGCTTGGATTAGTTAGAGGGGCGTAATGTCCAATTTGTGCCAGATGGCTTTAATCTTCATGCTAATGGTGCTTGAGATCCCTTCCCTTTTGAACCAGATGGTGAGGGCCTTCTGGTTGGCCCCGAACTAACAAGCACCATATGAGCTACGTACAGTGGTGGGATATACAATGAGCTGATTATTGGGCTGTTGCATCCCAAGATACTCTTTTATACAGAACAGAACCGAGTAGGCTGGCTCCAGAAATGAGATTGATACACTTATCGCCTGAACAATCCTTCTCGTGAGGGATCATCAACCAATCATTTTCAGGACATGAGGAGGATCATAACCCTAATCACACATAACTAGACCTACTAACTCAACATGCCTGTAAGACATGAGGAAGCACGAGGCACAGGGTTGCCCCACCAGTCCTCATTGAGAGCCCTTTGGGATGACACCACACAGCAGCCCTTGCCCTGCAAGATAACATCACAAACAAACCCATGCCTGCCGGTCCCTATTGGAATCTGTAAAAAATAATGTCATACATGTAACCCACCCTATGCCCCGCCAGTCTCAAGTAGGACCCTAGTCAGCACACCTCTGCATTCCCGTGTGATCACTGTTAAACACTGTTGTACATCACACCTTATACCCTGCCGGTCCCCATTAGGAGCTGCACACCACTGAGATACACCCTTCATAGTCATATATGCAGCATTCTGGTCCTCATTCAGAGCATTCTCTATGTAATCCTGACCATCCCAAATGAACATCTTCTATGGCACAATTGAATTCAATGTGAGTTGTGAGTTTCCACCTGGAGCCAGCTCACAGGTAGCCGTCCAACAATGTCACTGCTAGACCTATCATATGTGTGGTCCTGTGAGAGTCGTCTCATAAGGAATGCTCTATTGAATGGGTGCAGTCCCTATAGGGAGCCATCAGCAGTGAGAGATACTCATGTTTATACATGTATCTTGACATGCACCACTGGTGAGGGTCTAAGCAATGCAGCATACAAACCCTCACCTCACATCCAGTCCCCAATGGGAGCCATTGGACAAATATCATAGAAATTCTTCCCATTACACACAGAAGTCGCACACTCAAGGTAATAAGTCATCCAGAGGACCCGACTGTACAACATCAACCATGGATATAACATCCTTCAACAGACCTGCCTCACACTGAAATCCCTACCAACCTGTGATGGCATTATGCTATTCCATGTGTATCAACTAAACTAAGAAAACTAAGTAAACTACAACTACAATCATATTGTTTTGTATTATATAGTAAAAGTAAGCATCCTATTTAGCGGCGATGGTGGCGGCGCTTTGACACTCACCCGTCAATCTCCTCCACCTCCTTCCTCATGGTGGTGCAAGCCATCTCTATCATCTGGAGGATGTTAGTGAGGCCAGACACCCTACTGGCCAGGTATGTGTCCTCATCATTATCCTCACTCTCACTCACTTCTTCCTCGATGGCCGTGACCTTCCACTTGCTGCTCGTCTGAATCTCAATGTAGGTGTTGTTCTGCACACTCAATGGGCCTGGACCAACCATGGTGGTGCTGGTGTTGCAGTGGGCAGGTCGCTGGTCTTATTCTTCTTGGTGCCAGTAGTCGGGCCTGGCACTTGGGTGGCCTTTGAAGAAGCCCTGACAGCACAGGTAGTTGTGGCAACCGGCTTTGGCTTTTGTTTAGGCTTGGAAACCGGTGGTGGTGGTGGTGGTGGTGGAGGTGGTGTTGTCTTCTGCTTCCCTTTGTCTGTCTCTAGATTCAGTGCTGATCTTGCGAGAAATATGAGGTTAACACTTACTAAGGGAGCACTTGGTCTTTGCCTTGTAGCACCCGTAGCACAATATGCCCTTAGTGGAGCAGCGGCACGGGCGTGGCAGATCCCTGCATCTCACACAAGGCACTGGGTTGAGATCCATCTTGGTGCTCATGTGTGGAGTAGGTTTCTACAAGCAGAAGGTTGGAATGTTGGCTACTCAAAAGAGACTTGCAAAATACACTTACCTTCTGACCCACAGACAGGCTCAGACTCTTGAGCAGCTGGACCCAAACTCTCAATGGGTGGTTGCTCTCTTGCCTTATCATCCTGACTCTCATCAATCTCCCAAGTTTCCTCCTCCACCGACCGCTCTGTCTCCTGCTCCTGATTGCTGGCTTCTGTCTCACCTGAGATGGGCTCATGTTCGATTGCGGTTGTGGTTGTGACTGTCTGCTTCAAGGTCAGTTCAACCTGCTTTGCCACGGCATTCTTGAATGCGCTGATTTGGCATTGAAACACCGCACAAAGGAGGTTACCTTTCTGCCCATCTTACCTTGTTGTGACAAGGAAATTGATAACCACTGTCATGTCTCGTGTGAGCGTCAAGCGTGTGATCAGCTTATCCTAAGTACATATGTGTTTGTAGTTAGTATAATACAACAGACAGAAGCAAAAAATACTCACTTTAAGGTCGTTCCAACTTGTGCACCACTCCTCCTTCTCAGATATGTGCTCCTCATCGTTGGGTGCCGGCTGGATCATGTCAGTGAGATGGGCGCGCAGTTCATGCACCTCAGTCCTCAGAACAATTTTTTCCTCACTGTCGGCCGGCAGGACGAAGATATCCAAATTATTAATTTGGTCAGACATAGTAAGATGGAGTTGAGTTAACAAAAGTTACAGAGAAAAGATGAGAGGGAAGCCATGCTATACATAAGTGAGGTGCATAACAAAACATTGAGGCCCAGCGAGGTGCAGTCCCCAATAGGAGCCATCACACCAGTGGGCTGAAGCATTATCATTAAAAATCCTGTCTCAAAGGTTTGGTCCTCAATCAGAGCTGTCAACAACATGTGCTAGTTCCAATCATACTCAGATTTTTGAGAGGTCCGGTCCACCATGTGAGACATCTCATAACTATAGGTGAAATCATACTAAGACTTATCAGAGGTCCAGTCCCCAATGGGAGCCGTCTGTGAAGGAGCAGGTTTTATCACATTGGCACAACTCAACGGTCTGGCACCCAATGGGAGCCATCTGATAAGTACAAGGATGATTTTACAGCATATCACATCAGCAAATCATTGAGTTCCTTATTTGCTCCTTATTTGTCCTTATATGCCTTAATTCACATAATAAGGAATATTAAGGCTGTTTTTTCACACTTAAATTAAGGAGAATAAGGAGGTCCCTCGCCTTAAACCAAGGAAATTAAGGCAGTCAAAGTGATGTCAAAAAGTGCACTTTATTTTCTACCATAAAGCTAGTTTGAACTCTCAACCATCCAGCTGACCCAGCTGAGATCACATGATCAATTCTCAAACTGTCAAGCAGCTTTACCAGTAGACTATATTACCTTGTACATATGTAGGCAGCAATTAATATATATACCATATCCATTGGACTTAGAATAAAATACAAGTCTACCATTAGGATTTTAATAAGTGACAATGGTAGACCATGTGAACTTTTTCGAAGAAAATCAAAGTTGTAACCCTTGTCAAGGGTAGTCTATCCATAGTCTCGTGACATTTTTTGGTTCAGATCCTAGTGAGTTATAAGCAAAATACTAGAAAGTGGTGTGTTTAGGAAAGTTCAGGCACACAAATAATCTCCTTAATTCTCCTTAATTCCCCCTAGGCTGACTTGCAGCCACCATGTGCCTTAGAATAAATATAATTAAGTACAAAATCACTCCTTGATAGTCCTTATTCTCCTTAGCCACCTTAGTAAATTTGTCAAGGAAATTAAGGGACAAAAAGGAACTTGATGTTTTGCTGATGCATTAATCACCTACCCCAGAGGTCCAGTCCTCAGTCAGAGCTGTTGGACAAGTACTAGCTCAATAATACTGACACTGTTGTTAGCAGGTCCAGTTCACAATATGAGATGTCTTATAACTTCAGATGTAATCATACTAAGACTCATGAGATGTCCGGTCGCCAATGGAAGCTGTACCAATGGCTCAAGCATATATCCAGTTTAGGTCCAGTTTACAATCTGACATCTGGTAAGGGACAGGTGTAAGCATACTAAAAGGCATAAGAGAGCCGGTCCCCAATGGGAGCCATCTCATAAGTAAGATTACAACCAATAACCAACCAACAAACCAATACCTGACAGGATAAACAGTTTGGTTCTCAATGAGTGCCATGGACAAGGACATACTTATCCACACTACAGGTGAGATCCCCTGTAGGACGGTCCCCAATGGGAGCGGTGGACTGCTGCAAGTGCATCCCATTACATCTATCCCTAAGTCTTACATCGCCCTTGCTCCATGTCTGCTGAGACCACATCCACCAAGTCACCTGCTGTGCTGACAGAGGCCAACTACTCTACCTGGAAAGGTGAGATGAAGGCCTACCTATGTACGAAGGGACTCTGGCTGCTTGTCTCTGGCAAGGAGACTCCCCTCCAGCCTCTCAGGCTGAGGAACAAGCCAAGTGGGACCAGAAGCAGGACAAGGCTGTAGGTGAACTGTTTCTTCACTGCTCTGCAGACCAAAGGCTGCATTTTGAGGATGTTCAGGACGACCCTATTAAGATCTGGACCACCCTAGAGTCTACCCATGTCCAGCAGCTCCCTGCTACTTGTTTCAACGCTTGGAATGACTTCTTCACTATCAGGAAGCGCCCTGATGAGTCCTTGAGCACTCTCATTGCCAGGATTGAGGAGGGCATGGCCAAGATCCAGAGACTGCGCCCTCAGGACTCTAGTAAGCCCTACAGTCGTCTGTCTGACCTTGATGCTGAGCTGGTGTCTATGGCCATGATCCGTGCTCTGGGCGAAAACTATGCCCAATTTGCATCTAGCCTGATCCTTCTCAAGTCCTTGGACCAGAAGGAGCTCAAGGCCGCCTTCCTTGCTGAGGAAACCCAGCACCATCAACGTGCTGATGCTCTTGGAGTGTCCTCTAGCGATTCTGCCCTATTCTCTGCCCCTGGGGCGCCGCCTAGTAGCTGTAAGTGCGGTGCTAATGCTATCTGCGACTTCTGTGAGAAGGCAGGTCATTGCGTGCACAAGTGCTTTGCCATGCAGCGCGCCAGAGAGGTGCACAAGACTAGGCAGGCGCCCAACCAGTCAGGCAAGTCAGGCAAGAGGCCTAGGAACGCTAACAAGGCCTCTGAAGCTACCCAGTGTGGCATAGTGCGCCAGCACACTGTCAGGGCTCGTCCTTAACAGAATGGGGTTGCTGAGCGAGCCAACAGGCTTCTAGCTGAGCGCATCACCACTATGTTGGACGAGTCTGGCCTTACAAAGGCCTTCTGGGGTAAGTGTCTTGCAGCTTTGGTTCATGTATGGAACAGGTGCCCCACTGCTACAGTAGATGATGCCACGCCCTACGAACTGTGGCATGGGCGAAAACCTGATGTCTCCCACCTGAGAGTGTGGGGGTGCACTGCCTATGTGCATGTGCAGAAGGACAAGCGCTCTGCGCTCAAGTCCCATATGGAAAAGTGTGTATTCATTGGTTATCCAGATGGCTATAAGGGCTGGAAGTTCTATAACCCCACCTCCAAGCGCACTGTTATTTCAGAATGTGCCGACTTTGAAGAGAGGCATCTGCTGCTCTCTAAAAGGCCTGCTAGTGTGCTTCTGTCCTCCCCTTCTTTGCCCACTGTCGAGCCTAGGGTGATTCCAGACTCTGGTGATGATGATGATGCTGACTCTGATGAGACACTGATTCAAGGGGGGGCGAGGCATCCACCAGGTCCACCAGTTCCGCCTGCCATCGCTCCAGCGCCCCTGCATTGCCTCTTAAGCATGCAGTCGACCCAGCTGTCCCAGATGTCCAACCTGGCGATAGACCTGGTGTCTTAGGGCCTGATCCAGCGCCTCCTCAGCCTCTTGCACACGCACCAGTTGCGCCAGCCCCAGCGCCAGCTCCTCCTGCGCCTGCCTCTCCAGACGCCGCCCTCCTCGCAAGTGGTGGAAGCTCTCTAATGCGCAGTTAGATGATGAGGTAGATGATGATGTGGAACCATTTGCATTGTCCTTGCTATGGCTCCACCTTCGCTCTGTCGACATCTCTCATGCTTATCTCAATGGAGAGATGGACTGCGAAGTCTACATGGAGCAACCCGAAGGCTTTGCTGAGGGCGATCCTAAGAGGCTCGTGTGTCTTCTGGACAAGTCTATCTATGGCACCAAGCAAGGAGGCAATTGCTGGAACAAGAAGATGAGAGCTGTGCTCGAGTCTCTTGGATTCAGCCAGACGTATTCAGATGCAGCAATCTATGTCTATTCTCGAGGTGAAGACTGCATCATCCTGCCTGTCTTTGTGGACGACATGACCTTTGCATCCAAATCCCTGTCTGCCATTGACCAAATCATTTCTCAGCTCTCCCAACACTTCAAACTTTGCGACCTTGGTCCCACCACTCAGCTTCTTGGTATCAAGATAGACAGAGACCGTCCCAGTCGCACCATATCACTCTCCCAGCGTCAGTACTCACTGGACATCCTCGAACGCTTTGGCATGGCTGATTGCAAGCCTGTCACCACTCCCATGGAGCCCAATCTCCGTCTCTTTCGATCTCAATCGCCTCAAACTGCTGAGGAGGCGTCTGTCATGCGTGGTGTGCCCTATCTTGCTGCTGTTGGCGCTCTGATGTATCTAGCCACCATTATCCAGATAATACTGATATAGGACTGACATCTGAACCTGGTATGTCTCAACAATTCTTCTGTGTGTCCAAGTTTGCAACTTTCATTTGTATTTTAGATCATCTGCCGCTATCCAGAACAGCATCACCTATCTCATTTCAAAGTCGATGATATACAAGTCCGGTATCACCCCAATTTCGCACTCGCATTGACTTTGAAATGGCCAAACTTGCCCATGAAGCTGCACTAACTCATGAGCAGACAGACCGGTTCATCAGACTTATTCATCACAGTAGATGCGAGTTGTTGATGCTTCGGAATTGTAAGCACATGCGAGGCATGTGGGACGCAGCCTTGTTCAAATTGACTCCCATTTGTATCCAATCACTTTGAGTGTAGAATATATCCTTACTTTGAATACCATAGTTTATGATGGAAGAGGTCATTGTGCCCTTCCAAAGCATTGATCAGACCTTTCCATTTTTTCATCGCTCCCTATGGGACTGGGCTGTGGACTTACTTCAGGATCCTGAAGTTGGTCTGCATTTCGTTTTTGATGCCCAACAACTTTCGAAGTTCGATGGCGAGAAATTTGTTCGGTATATTCATGAGCCTTGGACTGCTAATGCCTTCTGGGAATATCAGGTATGTGGTGCTATCATTTGTGTCACAAGTTCAATGTGCATTACAGTATACTAATTGAGTATTATAACAGTCAAAGATACCATCAGATGCTAAACCACTTGTGTTTATCCTCTATGCAGACAAGGCCAAATTATGATCCTTCGGTCATGCAAAGGGTTATCCAGTAGTTGCATGGTGCACTAATCTTCCTGCTGCTGTTCGTAATGGTGAGGGCTTGGGTGGCAGGTGAGTTGTAGGTTGGTTACCCATTGTTAGCTTTTGCTTCACTCGATGATCATGTTATTACTAACTAATACTGGCACTTCGATAGGTAAAAGAAGACAAGAAACCTTCCGGAAAGCCAGCCTTTGTTAATTTCAAAAATGTGGTGTGGCATGCATCATTTTTGAAGCTACTCACTTGTCTCGCACCACTGTCAAAGCTCAGCTCTTCTGTTAAATGTTGGGATGATATTGTCTGCACTTTCTATTCAATCATACTCATACTCTCTGCAGACTATGAAGAACAGTGAGTGATCTAAATGTTACTAGGTAATATCGGAACCTGAAAGTTTGTTCACTATTACAGGGTCGTAATGGCATTGATCCATGGTCTAATGGGAAAGTTTCCTTGCCCTGTCTGCCTCGTTCCTTGTGAGGAGATCAAACACATATCAGTTTCGCACATCTGGAGATGCAAAGGCATTATGTGCTTGGGCCCAAGAGTCTACAACATTGGAAGTAAGAGAGCAGGTATTGAGCTCCGAGAGCCTCCATGATGTCGACGTAAGTCTCCCACCTCAATTTTGTTTCATTTTGTCTATCACTGTCACTGTCAGAGTGCATTTGACATCATGGAGCACACCAATGTCTACTGAGCTCTATCATTTGACAAACTTCATTTTAATGACGAGGGAATGTTTGATCACCTGCGGACGGAATTGCAAAAATGGATCACCAATTCCGGTCGACAAGCTGCAGTGGTAATTGACGCTTTGCAAGTATTTTTTTGTCTGTAATATGGTGCTGTTCACTTATGCGCCGCTACATTTGTGCAAACTTTCTGCCGCTGCGAGAACAAGTCCCAGAAACTTTCTGTCTTGTAAAAAGACTTAGATTAATGATAGGAACATATTGTCAAGAGTGATTTTGCATAGCATTAAATTTGAGCGACATAAATTTTCGGACATGACCCAAATTGGCGGTGACCGGTAAAATCAGTCGAAAAGACATGCTACAGTCTCCGGAACACGTCTATGAGACTTGTACTTCCTTGAGCTGAACTCCTTGACCTGCAACTGTGCTTTTTTCGTCTCCAGACCTGACCGATAAGCATCCATCCACCTGTGCATCCGATGCTCCCATAACCGGATTGTGCTGAGATGTACAGAAGCCATAGCTTTTGGCAAGTTGGTTTTGAGTGTTTCGAAGGTGTAGTCGCAGTTCTCGCGCAGATATCTCTTTACTGCCCCCCAAAAAAACTCGATAAAGTTGAGCTCACAGTGGTACTTTGGCAAGAAGATGCATAAGTGACCAGCGGCCTCGATAACTTCTTGCACGAGTGGTTTCTGCTCCTGAAAATCTGGTTGGAGTTCAAGAATTCGCTTGAAGCAGCATTCTGTTGCCCCATCAGCACACCTGGATTGGCACTTGCCTCGACATCTCCCCTGCAGAAGTCCACGTTCTTTGAGAACGGCCTTGATGCCCTTCGGTTCGTTTGGGTGATCATGGTGATCGGAGGGAAACATCATGGACTGAATAACTTTTTGCCCACCAGCATCAATGAACCAACTGTCTTTCATGTGTGCCTGTTTGCCACCTGGATTTACGTTCATGCGCGAGATCAACAATGCATCCTCTGCATATGCTGAGTGTCCCTGAGAATTGTCAATGAGGAACAATGCCTGGTAACCAGGTCCATGAGCACGTTCGAATGCTGGAATGATTTTGTCACGGAGCTTCCCCCATTTTCAGTTTCATGCATAATATCTGAATGATGACACCCACCTGCTCGACAAACATTTCCCCATTCCAGTATCCGTCATAATTCTTGCCATACTCGATGGTGTGTGCTGCTTCCTCAAGATGTCCAACGGTTGAGCAAATGATACTGCTCTGATGCAATCCTCGACCCACTCCTTTCTTTCTCAGCTTGTGCTCGCCGTTCGGTACCCAGTTCATTGATTGTCCATCATTTGCTTGAGTTGTCATCTCATCGTGTGCACAAAGGACCAGCCGTTTCTCAACGAAATTGGAAGGAGGGATATCAGACTCCTTCTCAACATCTCTGACAATGTATTGAACAAGACGATGTTCATGTTCCTTCATTGCAGGAAGGAAGACATTTTGGCGATAGTCAACGACATCTGGTCGATCGTGGCCATCAAAATATAGTCCTTTCTTGTATGACATGAACCGAAATCCTTCGAGATGGAGCCAGCGGCGGGCTGTGCTCAATGAAACTCCACGCCCAACCTTCATGTGAATGCGAGGAAAGAGCTCAAGCTCAATGTATCTCTTCAGACCCTGGGGCATTTCATTCTGCACAAGCCATTCGAGATATTTCGTTGCTTCAGTAGGGAGAAGTTCATTTTTGATAAATTTCGCCAGCTTCTGAGGGTCCATTGACCATTTGTTTGAGCGCATGAATGTGCAGAGCTCGGATGCAATTGCGGGGTCATCGAGAAGTGACGAAATCTTGGCATGCCGTCCCCATTGTGAGACTGGGAGTGTTCTCATTCGCATCCACTCTCGAGTCCAACCACGGACCTGGTGTCCTCCCCACTTTGCAGCAAACCCATTGGTCTCTGCAGCCATCTCTGAGGCTACCTTGAAACCATGCTCATTCTTCACCACAAGCATCAAGTGAACCTCGATAGTGCATGCACAACGTGCCTGTAAACCATGTGGACCCCCAACAAACACCGTCTTCTTCGACTTCAAATGCTTTGTGATATCTTTGTATGCTTGCTCCAGCTCAGCATGCTTTGCAGCTTGCTTTTGTTTTCGTTGCTCGCGGTAAGGAACATCAAGTTTCTGGCGCTTTCGAGGTAGCGCTGAGGAAATGTGACCAGTGGTGCCATCGCAATTGTCACTATGATCCATGTTGGTGTCGCTACTGTCATTGTCTTCATCACTCGAGAGATCGGAAAGGAAGTACAGTGAGTTTGGAACATATTGTGTGTTTTCGGGGGGCACTGGTGCTATTTTCTTTTGAATTGGCTTTTTTGCGGCACCTTGTTGAGTAAATGCACGCATCATGCTGATTTGTGGATCAGTACTGAATAGCCACGCTGGTAAGCATTCAGATCTGACAGAATTATTCATTCTGCTCACCTTGTCTTTGCATATTCACGAAAATCCTCTTGAGCACGAGCCTCGTGTAATCTGCGCTCCTTTGTGCGCTTCGAGTGTCCATCATATCCTAATCCTCGGCTTCTCTCAGCTTTCTTCCAGGTCTTGCTCGTCTTGGGTCCCACCACCTTCTGATAAGGTGTGGGTTCTGCAAGCAAGGTGAGCTCGTCTCTCAACTGTGCCAAACTGCTCTCGAGCTCTTTGCCCTCCAGCTCAACGACACTCTCTCCACTTTCTGAGTCAGAGTCCCAATCCATCTCAAATTCCGAGTCACTGTCAGGGTCAGGCAACGAGCAGTGAACACCACCAGTAAGCCCGCAATCAAAGTGATTGTCATCATCACCATCTGGCTCCTGCGCAGCCTCGCTGGATATAACTGGAGCAGTAGCAGTATACAGTTGAGTTTGTCGGGCGAGTCTTGCACGAGCCGCTGCCTCTTTATGGTACTTTCGGGCCATTGAATGAAGATTGAAATATAAAACTTTCGTCTGTACATAGTATACTAATGTCTCGCAACTCACAAAACGACGTTGATGCCCGGTATACTAACATCGAAGCTGCGCCTGCCATTTTGGGCAACGGGTTAGGGTTGGAACTTTTTGGCCATCGATTTGGCGGTTGCCCCAAAGTAGCGGCACATAAGTGAACAGCACCATAGGTGGATGATAATTTACATTGCCAGCTTCAAATCATTTCCACGTTGGCGAAACTTGAATCACTTTGACCAGGTGGTATCAATATCCTTTGCTGATGGAATGAAATATGAAGATATATCAAAGGTATGTGTATTCAATTTATCAAGCTTTAGATTGATTATTCATGTCATTTAATAGCTGATTGTTTTTGCTGCTCATAATGTATTTAAGTGTGATCCGGATCCTCAAGTTTATCTCCTGCTTCATTGTATTCGGAGTTACATGGAATTCAACACATATGCATCACTAGAGGTCCACACCAAGGGTACAATCAGGGACGGCCGAAATATGTTGTTAGAGCTTACTGAACTGATGGATGTAAGTTTTGTTGTGTATATCATCAATTGATGCTACTAATTCAGATTTACGAGTCAGATATATATCAAAGATACGGCAGACCTCTCGGAGAAGTCATGGAATTTTCCCAAGATGCATCTTTCCGCTCATCTCTTCAACGACATGGAGGCAAAGGGCGTCACCCGGAACTACAATACGAAGCCGAATGAGAAAATGCACAGTCCGCTGAAGGACGCTTATCAAGATCATACAAACTTCAAGAATTTTGCAGAACAGGTAATGCACTAGTGGCTTCTTAGATACAATGTGAACCGAGGGCTGAGGGACGTATTTTAAAGATTCTCCAATACAACCATGATAGCTTAGTTGCGGAATACATTTGTAGCAAGATGGAGTGCCTCGATGTGCAGAATCTTGGTTCATCAGTCATGCCTGATCCATTGGAGGCTGATTCAGATGGGCTCGAATCAACCGAACCAACTGATATACAGCATTTTAGTATTGGTTCGCAGCAGGCAACCAAATCATTTGCGGATATTAAAGCAGCTAACACAGGTGACACAGCCTTTGATTGATTCCAGATCAAACTAAATGAATTTTTGAATCAAGCATTCACCGCTAACAACATACCATTTCCAAATGGAAGACATATCCAACTTGCTGTGAATGACATGGTGCGTTGAGCATCTGCAGCCCTCAAATGACATTACTAATCCGCAGTTGTGTATTGGCAGAGGATAGTACCAGAGCAAACGAGTTCTTGGTTGTTGATACGACTGACACAGATATATTCTTTTGAATGAAGAAACTTTGTACAGAGGCAGGTTATTAATAGGTTAAATAATAGACTTTGTCTGATTAAAAACAGATACTCGTACTATAAGGATTCGGCCACTGACAGAGGTTCGTCATCACAGTTGGTGCTTCTCATTGGCCTATGACCAGCCTGAACGCGACTTGCAAGATCACCTACCAGTTGAGAGTGTGCATTGGGATCACAATAGGATGCCATACATCTTTGTCTTCATCGCATAGCAGCACTGATTTCGCATTTTTCAGTCCTTACACTGTGTTCCAAGGGAACGGTAACAACACGTTTTGGCACCACTCTAGCAACAGCGGTGGGAGCAGCCAATACAACCCACAATTTGTGCACCTCCAATATTGCCCAGATCATGCACTACAGGACCACACGCCCATCATTCACACTGTAAGGCTTCCAGGGGAATGGTAACAATGTGTTCTGACACCACTCTAGCAACAGCAGCAGCAGCAGCAAATTTAAATGCAGCCCGCAATTCATGCACCCTCCAATGTTGCATGGATCACACACAATACCACATGCCCATTATTAGCACTGTGTCTGAATCAATGTTCCAAGGGAATGGCAACAACATGTTCTAGCACCACTCTAGCAGCTGTAACAGTGGTGGCAGCAGTGAATGCAGCCTACAATCTATGCACCCTCCTGTCAAATCATGCACTGTACCACATGCCCATCTACAATATGTACCGACTTCCTCTTTCCTCCTCACATTCTCCAAGACCTGGCAACTTGCCTCTAGCAGGCCTTCCTCTCGCCGCAGAACATATTTGTAGATGAATTCAATGAAATCATGTTAGACGCGCTGCCAGGAGATTATGGTGAGCATAAGATAGGACTACAAATGAACATATTTATGAACATGCATGACAGAGTCTCACTTCAGTTGAGACAGTCTGAAAGAAGCAGACAAAGCACCTGCAGTCTGCAGATGCACCTGAGCAAATGCCCAACTACCTCGCCATGTTGACTCATCCAAACACGCCACCCCATGGTCTGGATTTCAAAGTCAATACTCTTGATCATCATGTTCGTCACACTAACCTCTGCATCTAGACTTAATATTGACCTTTTTACTCATTTTTCATGATTTAGGGTCTTCACATTGCTGGATATTAATATGGTCCAGACGCCACACTGGTAAACTTCCTCGTGTCTGATTCATATTACTTTCTGATATATTATTACATGTTACCAAGTCCATTATGCACGTAATTTGCCACATGGATTATCTTTCCTTTGTGCCAATTCTGAATCAGACGCTGCTCGGTTGTCAGCACACAGCAAATTTCAACTATAAATTCTCCATCACCAATCGCACTTCATTGTGGCCACCAGTCTTCCAATTTACTGCACGAATCCCTCCTATCATGCCCCAGCAGGCTCCCTGTCAAGTTAACATGTCTGATAGCTCTGACTCATCCGAATGTGAATGGGACTCTGGTCCAGGGTCTGCAGGGGTCTCGTCAATTAGCAATCAGCCATCAGTCTTGAATGGTTGAATGTTGCAACACAAGGACATGGAGGTATCTTTAATTCCTGCAACTATTATGCTATCTCTCCTAATTGTTTTCCTTGAAGATCATTCAGCGCTTACAACTCAAAAACCAAATGCTCAAGAACAATAATCATACTTTAGGCAAGAAGAATAAGACATTATCGGCCAATCAATGGCAATTATCTTCGAGTACCCAAATTCCAGATGAGCTGAAGGCTTTTGACGCTGAACTTGCAACTTTTTCACACAAGTATGGTATCATTGCAGAGATGTTCCCACCCACACACCGCATCCTCAAACTTCCTGTGCCAAATCCTCCATCTGCCATCCTATCTGGGAGTCACTATGCAACCAAGAGCGCAGAAGAACTCTGCCTCATAACAGAGCTGTACTCACTTCTCCCAGATCATCTCCATCACTTTGTACCGACTACTCATTTCCAATCATTGGTACGTGGTCTTAAGTTCAATGTTGTGTGATCTAATTGATTATTGGTATAATATAACACCACAGCTGGGACACCATCTTCAAGGCGGTCGCTCAAGTGAGATTGGCAAGTTGCGAGTGATGGCAGGGCATATTTTTGATCTTGATTCTTCCTACTTCGATACCGGTTTTACAAAGTGAGATACAATTCCCGAAATCCAGAAGCTGCTTGGTCAATCATCTTCGAAGTTTCCTCCTGTCCTTTTTATGAAGCAAGTTATGGACCCAACAATGTCAACAGTGTTTGGTAACTGGGAACCGCTTGCAAAGGTATTTGTTATGGTTGCCCGAATAAACTGTACTTGTACTAATGTGTATAACAGGCAATTAGAATTGTAATGTTTGGCAAAAATTCGCTGGACATTGTTGGGTGGCCATGTGCCAAGTGTAATGCTCGAAAGTGGGGCATGAATCATGCACCCCTGGCCTCCTTGCCTGGGGTTGGGTTGCGGTAAGTTGTCCCCTCTTTGCTATCATCAGTTTTCGGTGTCTAATGATTGTTTAGTTGATATTTATTCTGTCTCTGGACACTTCATTCACTAAAGATGGAGTTGGTGCAAGGTCTTGACTACCATATGCAGCCATGTTCACAGCCTACAAGCAACTATGGGTTACACTTTGGGAAGAGCCCTGTATTATTTCGATCTGTCAGAAAATCAATACACATGTCTGGCAGTCATCAACCTCAAATGTTGCAGCTTCTGAAGCCGAAGCCGAAGATTTCACTTCTGATCTAATGCACTTGGCCATCGCTAATGCTGGCCACAAAGATTCAGATTCTCTGACTATCAATGAAGATCCCACACCTCCCATAACCCCTACTTCACCAACAATTGACACTCTGGCTGTCATTGCGCCACCTGTCCTTCCCACTGTACCAGCTATCACCCCTGCCATGTTGCCTCAGGCCACTGAAACTATCATCAACCCAGTTCCCAGATCCGCTGTTCAACTTCCAGTCTCACTCACAGGCAATACTGTCAATGTGCCCATGGTCACTGTTACCACAGCCACTGATGAATTCCCGCCCATTGTGCCTGCCACTGTAACTGACATACCTGGCAATGGGGAGACCCTGTCACAAGCTGTAGCCTCTGGGTCATTGTCTCCTCAACGGGGTGGAGGCAAAAAGGCTGGGGTACTTGCACTGGTTTCATTGTTGGATAATACAGCAGAGCAGCAACATGGTCGGCCAATAAGAATACGCAAAAAGAAGTAGTAGTAATAGATTTGTTTAGATCAGAATATCATTTGTCAATATTTGGATGGTTACATCATTACAATGAAATTTATTCAGTCTCAAGGATGTCTGAATTGGCTTGAAACTTATGCATGTTTATTCTAACATTATTGAAACAGGCCTTGAGATCTGGATCTCAAAGTACAATGAAATCAGTTTCGACGGTTGCTATTATTGCCCAACTTGGCTGAAATTTTGGTTGAAAGGCTCAATTGTGACCCAGTTGTAACATAATTGTAACATAATTGGAATGTGAGACTCTTTTATTGCAATGTGTTGAGACCTAGGGTTGTCATTGGGTCATTGAAACACATTGCAAGGTCATGAAACCTAAATAGGAAATTTCCGACATAAATCCTCCCAAGAACTCACCACATTACCTCCCATGAAGTAGAAAAATTGGAGACCGTGACTTAAGGACTGGCAAGAAGTCTTTACTGTGTATAATTGTGTTGTCATTATACACAACTTTTATATAAGACCCTTAAGTAACAAGACACCAGGAAGCGAAGTGAGTACATATAAGATAGACGCAAAACACTTTCTGTAAATGTCACATGACATAGTGTGATGAATCGTGACAATAGTACTCTAAGGTCATAGGGAGACTGTGTGGACAATTTAGAGTAAAACTAAGATGGAGGCATTGCAGAGCATCATTGAATTGACAATGCCTCTGTTTTATAATTCTTGTAAATGTTGTATAGAAGTTGACTATGAATGATCTGTGTGTGCCAAGTGTTCAAAGTCCGAAAAGTGTGCCGTGCAGCGTGAACCAAGCCCAGTCTACGGCTTGTATATGCCCGAAGAGATCTTTTCCTTGATAATGCGGACAACCCCGCCGACAATTGCTGGCGGGATCAGGATGTTGCGCTGATTCCAGGGTGTATGTGACACATAACACAAATGCCGCACCTAGCGCTGATCATGATGCCGCTGAACCGCTTACCCGTTCTCCATGTCTTTTTAGATGTCATTGCTCCATCAACCATTGAACAGATTATCCCGTGTTCAGAAGCCACCGTCGTGCTAGATGCGAAGCTTCTGACCCTCAAGTGTTTCCTGATAATGCACAAGTGTCTGTCAGGACTCTCAGACAAAGATTACACCACATTGGTTAATCAGGCAGTGCGATTCTTTGTGCTAGACAACAATCTATGGTGCCATGAACACCACGGTAAACACCAGCTCGTCTTGATGCTACCGAAGCACTATAATATTCTCAAACAAGTGCATGACGACTTAGGTCACAAGGGAGTATATGTGATCTGTGTTTGGCTAATCTTACAATTTTGGTGGCCATTTATGATGGACGACATCAAATGGTATGCGTGCACATGTCACAAATGCCAGATAAGGCAGACGTGCAAGCTTCATATCCCGTCGATGGTACCAACACCCAGCAGCTTGTTCTGCAGAGTGCATATTGACACAATGAAGATGCCCCAGGCAGGAAGTTTTGAGTATCTCATTCAAGTGTGTTGTGGCTAACATCTTATCCAGAATGGTGCCAATGCTGTGCAAAGAGAATACCAGGTCACTAGCGGCTTTCATATATGAGGAGATCCTCTGTTGATGGGGCTCAGTGACCGAGCTAATTACTGACACGCACCTGCCTACAGACTTGCCACTGACATGTTAGCCGAAAAATATGACGTCCATCTGATACATATCTTGCCATATAATTCACAAGCGAATGGCATAGTTGAGCAGCGGCATCGCGACGTCCGTGAAGCTATCATGAAGACATGCGATGGTGACGACCTGTGATGGCATCAGGTCGTTCATTCCATGTTCTGGGCTGAGCGTGTCACCATTCATAAGTCAACGGGTTTATCGCCCTACTTTATGGTGCACAGCATAGAGCCGATATTTCCCTTTGATCTTGCCAAAGCTACATTTCTAGTGCCGATGCCTCCGCATGGTGTATTTACCACCGCTGACCTTATAGCATGGCATGCACACCAATTACAGAAACACATGAAAGATCTTGAAGAGATCTGTGATAAAGTAGTAAAAGCACGCTTCGCATCAGTGTGCAAGATCGAAAAGTGTTTCCGCAATATGGTCCGTGACTATGACCATGCACCCAGCACCTTAGTGTTGGTGCGCAACTCCAAGGTTGAGTATGGGTTCAGCAAGAAGACAAAGCCGTGGTACTTGGGACCTATGATCATAGTGCACCGGCTCATATATCATGGCCAAGTTGTATGGTGCTATATCGCTCTTACACTACGCAGTGTTCCATGTAATCCCATATCATCCATGCAATGGTGAGCGCATTATGGTAACAAGCATCACCAGAAAAGACGACGAAGCACTAGATCGCTAGCCAATGAGGATATTGAAGAACCAGACGAAAACAAACCAGAACATGCGCAAGATGATTAGCACATGCATCTCTTCCCGCATACCACCCGACACTCTACCCGTACATCACTGCTCCCACACCAATAAAATCAAAAACAACAAAAACATCAAATAACAAGAATACCGCAAAAATATACTGCTATAGTGCATACTTTCCGTTCTACCCCTGGTTTCGGCCAGCGATCTTTTCTCTCCTTTTCTCATATAACTGCACATAAGCGCATTGACTGTCCATATTCAACAGACTCTATCATTACCACATCGCAGCCGCAAATAATAAAACAAAGTATATATATATATAACACATATCATCACAGTAGACGCGCATGCATAACTGACCCTCTAGACTTTTCCCCTTCTAATGTGCGCTGCCACGCTGCGCACATTTTTCTATATACTTATGGATTTTATCACTAATCAGCTGCATCATCAGCAACAAAAGCAGGAATAGACATGATAGCCACATGAAGAAGACAAGTCGGGTGCACAACCCACAAATATTTTGTACTCATTTTCTTATTGTTTCTTGCTGCCACACTCAATTACTTACTATCATTTTTAATTATGTCTCTGGCCCAATGAACTTAGCAGAATTGGACATGGGATATGGAATGGAATTGGATCGGGACGGAACACGACAAGACTATCATATGAAGTGCACCAGGCACTGGAGACACCGGAGACACTATAGTACAGGGCGCTTTTTGCGCCGACAAGCGATTCTAATCTAAGAGTATTCTAAAAATCCCATCTACTCATCCAGGATCTCTCCAAGCTCTTTCTTCCAAGTTCCCCAGTCGCACACAAAAGTGTAGAGTTGGTTGCTCATATGGAGCAACTCGGACTCCTGCGTGCAGGAGTGTTGGCAAATGTCAGCTAACGCAACACGGTACCTATTGTTGTGAGCATGGAGCTCAGCATTCTCAGCGCAAAGCCACACAGTCTCTGTGTGCGCCTCCTCTAACTCAGGGTTAGCATCCAGGTGAGAAAGCTTTGCTGCAGGAGCAGCATCAGAGGTGAGCAGATGCTTCGGCCACTGCATGAAGATCTCCTTGGCAGGAGCAGCCATGGGTTCATTGACCGGAATCTCACCCACAACCTCTACCTCCGACTCACCGGTGTCGGGTGCAGTCGTTTGCGTGGAGGAAGGCACCTTGTGCTTGGGCGCAGAAGGTGTGCGTCCCTTTTTCTTCTCTGCAACTATTGAACAAGTATTAGAACAAGGCGGAAATGAAAGGAACATATCACAGACTTACTGAATGAGCATGCCTTTCATGCCTTGATGCAGCCTTCGCATCACCCACCTGATTGGACAATGATGCACTTGGCGTCCGATGTAGCACAGCACTCATACTTTTCAGCAGGACAAGTAACTGAGGTGGTGGTCATACGTCCACCCAAATGCTAAAGAAACGAGTCAGCACAACCAGAAAGGTTAAGAAAAGGAAAAGTAAACTCACCGGTCACCCCATATCCGCCACTGACTTCTCTATCGCCTTCTCCATTGCCTCCTTAGTTGGGGCGGTCTCCTTCACTTTCCCATTCTCAGTGCACGCAGTCACCGCAGATGCTTCCACTTTCTCCTTCTAGGACTTCACCACCCTCATCAGCGTCCTCGTGGCAATTTTGCCCTCAGCCAACATGACAGTGTCCACATTGTTAAGGGACACATGCAGCGAAGCTGCATGTGCCAGCTCAAAAACAGCAGTCATATTGGCCTGAAAACAAAGTGTTAACGAAAGTAAGCAAGAAAAACTAGATGTGCCACTCACCATTGTGATGTTCCAGTTGCGGAGCCAGGATTCTTGCTCCTCCAAGAGTTCTGGCTTGGAGGGAGGCACCGTCTCAACACAGACGTGCATAGTATTGAGCATGGTTGCCCATGTGCATTCGATCCGGTCAGACTTGGATTCCTCAGGCTCCTTCGGAGCCACATCATGGAAAGTGGTGTTATCGACGGATGTGTTGCCACCCTTTAGCGGGCACTCCTCAGGTTTGGGAGAGGGAGAGGGCGACACAGTGAGCATGAATGGGTTAAAGATAACTGATGACATGGTAGCAGGTGATGAAGAGATAATCACGATAAAGTGCGATGAGAAGTTAGGAAGAAGAAGAGAAGTGTGACACACGACATGTTTTAATACATCAAAATTCACCACAGTTCCCACAGTTGACGCTCCACATACCTGCGGTCCACTATTGTGCTCCACATACAGCTTGAAACACGCACAGTCACATGACTTATCTCATGGAAATTTTGCTAAGTCCCTCCGCTCTATAGAGGCTGACTGGGGACAGTCAGAATTTAAAGTTTGTATGTAATGTAGGACTTGGAGTCCTTGTAGTCTTGTAGAGGCTATTTTTGCAGTGCGTGCTATCACTAAACAGGGTGCACATCTTTTCCATCGTCGGCCGATGGCCACAGCTCGTGCATGCGCATCTACTTTTCTTCAGCTCCATTGTGCATCATTCCTCTGTCCTATCCATATCCTCTACTTGTCCATTGGTGCATACCTTATCTCATTTATGTTAGACTGACATATCTCCGAAGCTATATTGCTTATGTTCACGGTACTTGCGTTATGGACCCTTGTTACATATTACCGCTACCTACTTGGCTCCGAAGAGCGCTTAATGCACTATCATATATACTTAGTACTTATGACTTTTCATGTATCTTCTGTTCTCCCATCGAAATTATCATCTGTTTGCATGCAACACTCTGACTGAAAATCTAAACCTTCAGCCTACTACTGCGCACGCTTCGCTAACAGCAGTGCTGACCTTCGCACTTTGTCTATCGCACCTATCATTAAAACTCTCCTCCCATTTCACTGTCACATTGCATCGCCTCCACGTTCTGCTAAAGCCTTCTCATAAATTCTTCGGCTCTTCCTCGTGCTCCCTCTATTCTCAGTTACCCTTACTAGTTTCAAAGTTTCCCCTCACATTTTACTTAGAGGAATTGTTCTCAGTAGCAATCCCCTTCAGCCGAATCTATACTTACGTCCAGAGGTCTATTTGAGTTTTACCCCACTTCACCCTTTCTTCCCCTTTTACCCCTTCTCATGAATGTCATAGTTACATATCATATGAACCAGATCCCAGCACATCTCCCAGTCTCAATCTTCCATCAACTTGAATAGAGACTTTATTCATAGTACAAAATCCAATTAACATGAGAATCTTGAGTCCTGGAGCCTGAGAGAAGTTTTCATACATATTAGAGCTGGCTTCAAATAGCTTAAGCCATTTTAAGTCAATGTTCATACATTCTCAGTTCATAGCTAGTTTGCACAGCTGACTAATACTTTGAATCAATTTAAAGAGCTCACTAGTGACTTGGCTCATCTGTTTGGCTGAACTGCCAGCTATCCAGCAAATACCAAGTCTAAGTCAGCCATAGCTGGGCCACAGCACAACTAATACCACTGTTCAATCTGAATAATGTCAATAAGTATTTGAGCACACCTCAAAACTCAGCTGGGATGAGAGATTGTGGTGCAGGAAATGATATAGCTAGCATGTCAAAATAAGGTTGGTGGTGGGAGGGGCCGGTTGTACTTTTTTGAGCCTCAGAAGTTCATTTAACACATTCTCACACACCCTAGATTTATTCACAATTTTCAATAGGCCTTAGGACATGATAACTTTTCAACAGTGTTATTAACAGTTATTAACAGCTATTATAAACAGCTATTGAAAAAGATTGACTTTTCAACCATGCCCTAGTGGGAACAGAAGGAAAGTGCTGCCAAGGGTGAGCAAAGACCTACACTGCCAATCGTCAATTTCACACATTGAATATTTGACAAAAAATAATTTGGATATATACTATTGATATAAAACCTATATATATACAGGTCTGGTACATACTGATAAATTTTTAATTTCTGTATAGCTTCTGAGACAATGGTGAGGTAAGAGAATATAATTATATTACAATCACTGGTCCTGTATAGAGTGGATGCTGCCCAGACATAGAATCTATATATTAAGCTATCTCACAGCTTCCATGGTCTTCATACCACTGCCTACACCTTCACCAGCAGTAATATTCACTAAGACAGACATACTTAATATATGAATTATGTGGCAAGTTTTAGAATAATAACATTAGTACTGCATAGTAGCTGTTGTGCTGTGAGCAGAGGGCCCTACAGCTGCAATCTACTAAATTTCTCTAAGTTCGTGGTAGCTTGCTAAAAATTATTTCTTATTGTGTATTTCAATGGTCTAATGGCTCAATATTTTGTGCACTATCATAAAAGTGTTAAATAAGTTAGTTGTGAGGCTGAGAGTTTGAATCCTGTTAATTTTTATGCTTTTCATATATATACCTGTTTGCCAAGGTCTGTGCCACAGTTTCAGATATAGCTCATATACTGAGAAAATGTATAGCATGCATATACAATGAAAATTATGGTATTGGCATTGTATATGTATAGTCAGTGTTGTTACTAACCCAGTTATAACTGGTTAAGAGGTTAGTTAAATGAATCTACAATTTTGGGAGGGTTAGTAGGGATAATGTACTAGGAGTGATTTGGGTTAATTGGGGGTCACCAAACTTTTAAATCATTATTATTGATCTCTCTAATTGTCTTAGTGCCAGTCTTTTGTGACTGCATTGCCTCTCTGAGTTTCTCTGATGGGTAGAGAGAAGTCCTGGCTATATGTGGCACAAGTAAAGCATTCACACAATAGAGTCAATGTTTGAATAGACTTATTTCAGACGAGAGAGCTGTCCGAACTTAATATTATTCGGGGGAGAAAGATCAACTACTCTAATAGTAGATAAAATGAGTCTTATATACTGTAGAGTAAGGAATAATTAGGAATATGAGAGAAACTATGGAAAGATGTTGCCTTGTAACGATGAAGGCTTTTTAGGAACACTGCATACGCCCTCCAGGTCCTTGTCATATCCCGTATTCCGGACCTACATCCGACAATATTCCCACGCCTCATCTGGACCTTCGGACACCCTATCCATGTCTCCAGTCCTCTATCCATCTGGATCCCTGCACCCCTGCACATCCACATCCACATCCACATCCACATCCCTTTACCTCCATACCTCAGCTAGCCTGCATCAGTCATCCTTTGTCCCATCACCCTAATGTCATATCCCATATATCCACGTGTCTCATCCGGACGTCCGGTCCGGTCTGATCTGATCCGATATACGATAAGCTTCCTAATTCATTCCTGTGCATATAACGTTAACACAGCCTATTCCTCTATTCGTTATTCCTTGTCCTCGGTATCTCGATTATACTTACTACCGGTATGCTTACTGATCCATTAACCTATGCTTCATTTCCGACTCCCACTTGATAACTTTGCTTATGCTTCATACATAGCCTCGGACGCTTGCTTACTGATCTTTCCGTTATTTCCTTAGTATATAAACTCTTGTATATGTCCTGTAGTTCCCCAGTCTGAATATCATATTAGTCCTCGCACTAGATCTCACTCTAAGTCCTCACATCAGTTCTAGTCTATCGACTTAGTCAATATCCATCTCGGGCCTAGGGAGAAATTCCCTAGGCCAGAGCTCTGCTTATCTGATCCCCGCTCATCCGCTCATCCGATCCTCCGAAGTTTCCGGACATTCGTCCGAAACTTTCCCGCAGTCCTCCGGACCTATTCTGCTTTGGACTTTGACCTTGCAGCCTTTCCTCTGTTTGCTTCTACTTAGGACTTGTCCTAAGTAGCCATTACACGTATCCGTATCAGGACGAAACCTCATCGTAATTTCCGGAAGTTCCTCCGGAACTTTCCCGCACTCATCCGGAAGTTACTTGCACTCGTCCGGAAAGTCCTTCCGAACTTTCCCGTGCATCGGACGTCCTTGGACTTTCTTCGGACATCATTCTGAAATTAAGGGCACATACTCGGGTAAGGGGTGCAGCGCACGAGCTGAAGCCAAGCCCCTTGGAATCAGTCCTACCCTTTGTGCACGGTCTTAACAGTCCTCTAAGGAGGACCTTCTGGTAAAATTCAGTAAGGAACTATTAAGCCTGAGGAGTGTGCACGGATTCGATGTTCATGGTACCCATAGCTGCTAGGAGAACGAGGAGGGTCACATCAACAGCAGTCAATAATCCAAGGAGGATGACACTACCAAAGAGCTCTTTGGCCGTGAAGCCGTGATGGTGAGCTTCAGCCTCTAAGTCCATCTGCTCAGACTCAGCAATGAGTGAGTCAATGTCAGCACCTAGGTCACCTGCAGGTTCTGCAGGGGGAGACATAGAGGCAGGAGATGGTAGAGATGGAGGAGGCGTGATAGACATGGAAGGGGACTGAGGAACCTTGAGAGGTTGCACCCTTGGTTGGTTAGGGCGACGGGCAGGACGGTTGTCTAGCGTCCGGTGTAGAGAAGATGGCACATGACGGTCAGTGAAGTGAGCAGCTTCTTGTTAGCGGTGTTGCTTGAGTTCGCAATCATGCCCATAAGAACGGGGGCAATAATCCTGGTCGCGGTAGCACTCAGAGCGGATGCGCTGCTCAAATGCATGGGCCTCTTTCCAGGTCGCAAGCTCTTTGGCTTGGGCCTCGGCCACGAAGAAGCAAGTGAATGCATTGAGGGTGTCAGAGTTGGGGTGGTCTGGTGGAGAGAACTGACCCCAATCTCTATGCCCCTCGCATTGACAAACAAAGCATCCTCTGGGATCATCAGATGCCATAGGAGGAGCAAGGAGTGGAGTTGCACCTGGAGGAACTGCAGTGAATATGGGAGGGAAATCTTCAACTATCTGAACTGCAGGGAATCTGAGTGCTGTAGGCTGGGCTGCCTAAACTGTGGGGAGTCTGGACGAGGTAGGCTGTTCAACTGCCTGAACTGCAGGGAATCTGGATGGAGGAGGCAGTACTTGCTGGGGGTTTAAGTACTCCTCACAAAGGCTAGATCCGAGTTGGGTACCTCTTTGCGTTTCTGATTTGACAAGGACGTGCTCTTGACGCGGGCGGCAATGATGGCATCGTGTGTGGCCATGGCCATGTCTTTCATCCGTTGAGTGAATACATAAACTCCAGGGTACTCACACTTCGTGTTCCAGATCATCGAAGGAGGCATCATTCCATAGACAAGCTTGAATGGTGGGGAATGTCGTGTCGCAGAACTTGCCGAGTTAATGGCGAACTCTATCGAAGGTAGCTTGATTGCCCAGTCACACTGATTAGTGGACATGCATTGCCTAAGCATCTGCGTGATAGTGCGATTGGTGTGTTCAGTAATACTGTCGGTCTGGGGATGAAAGGACGTAGACATGTGGAGTTTGGTCCTAGTGAGTTTGTGGAGGTGTTTCCAGAATATACTGGTAAACAGGGAGTCCTGATCACTTACGATCTGTGTCGGCATTCCGTGCAGTTTGTATACCAGGTTAAACATGACTTCCGTGATGTCACGGGCATGGTACATTTGCCTTGTTGGTGTGAGGTGTACCATAGCTGTTATGTGGTCAATAGCAACCAAAATTGTATTGAACACACCATTTAACATGCACAATTCGGAGAGTGGGCCAACAAAATCAATTCCAATCCACCTGAGTGACACCTGTTCCCACACTTGTTAGTAACATATATAGTATAACATGTTTGTTACGAATGAGGGGGGTAAACCTACACTGCAGTACTTCAGCGATAGCTGCAGTACTCAGCAGTGACTTCAGGAATATCAAGAGGCAGGTAAATTAGGATATAATATAAACAGGCTATTGATTTGTCATCTCCCCGGTGGCAGGTACAACACTGCTGCTACGCCTTCTGATGGTTCCCACGCCTCTCTCTTTCACCCTCCACATCATCCTCGATGACGTGCTCGCTATCCCGCTCATTCCTGGTCCAATTCTGGCCGTTCTTTTTGTTTTCAGGCCCCTGGTGGACGTCTGATAGCTCTTTCGACATCCTTCACATTCTGTGGCTCTCTTTTCCTTCTCATTGCCCTGGATAATCTCTTGCCAGGAGCTACAAGGTATGTTGCCATCCCTACACCTTCTGATGCCTCTAACGCCTCTCTCCTTCACCCTCCACATCGTTCTCAACGACGTGCTCGCTATCCTGCTTGTTTACAGTCCAAATCTCTGCCTTCCTTCAATGCTCATATTCTCAATGGACGTCTGATGTCATCGTTGAGATCATCTGTGGTTCTCACGTGGGTCCTTTTGGTCTACGCCATCATTACTCCAACCTCGTGTTGATCGGTCTTTGCTGCTGCTTGCTTTTACTCTTCATGCGACATGTCCTTGCCCAGGTTCCACACTACCACCATCATGGTCCCCCCGAGAAAACGGATGTCAACATCTTCGAGGGTCACCATGACTCTTCTCAGTAGTTCTATGGATCTTTGTACTACCAGATCGTCACTCTCTCAGATACGAGATTTGCGGCTTCGTAGGGAGCAAGAACAGCACCAGATTCGAGGTATGACACTTATTCTCACGTTGGTCTCTTGCTCACTATCATCAGACAATTCTCGACGTATGCAGGAGCTGCCCGCTGAAGCCCAGTTGGAGGCTGGGCATGATTCCTTGGAGACCATGGACTTTGGAGACGAGATTGACAATGGCAGAGATGAGTTCACTGAGGACAAGCCTGTGGGTGGCCCCCTTCTATCTGAATTTTTCAAGACATGCTCTCAAGAACAATACATATTTTTTCCCCCTCTACATGGTATCTAATGTTTATCTCTAGGGAGCCTCGTGTATGCAGGCGCATTGATGTGCGGACACGAACACAACATCGCCAGCATGCCAATGCTGCTTGGAAGGAGCAGATGCCCATCCTTGTCAATGGCTACTTGGTGTGGAGACATAGAGCACCAACCGTTGATGACAATACCATTGTGTCTAATATATTCCATGTTGACGCTGTTGGAATTTCCGGTGAGGTTTCATTCCCCCAATACATGTCCCCTACTTATGCTCAATCACACATTAAAAGGTTTTGCATGTGCTATCACCATTCAATAGCATCCTAATGAACCAGCGAACGCAGCTCTCCTCTGCATGGGACTTTTGGGGTGCTCCCCACTACAACCGACTATCGCTATTCACATCGAGTGCCTTGAACTATATCACCAAATACAACGTCGTCAGTCCTCATTTAGTATCCAAGCAATTACAAAGGTTTTGTGCACACTTCATAATGTAAGAGTTGTAGGGTGTTATGTTATGATGTCGTACTCACTTACTATACAGATTACATATTTTTGACAGCTTCGCGATCAATTTTCTGATGCGTTTGATATCTATCTGCAAATCTTGCAGGAAATTCAGGGTCGCGTTGACCAGATCTTGGGCAAAGATCCCAATACCTGGCAGATCAATGGTGCTTGTCCTTCCTGCACATTTGTCATATCCCGCATTCCGGACCAACATCCGACGACGTTCCCACGCCTCATCCGGACCTCCGGACCTCCTGTCCATGTCTCCAGACCCAATCCTCTATCTGTCCGGATCCCTGTACTCCTGCATCTGATATCCGGATGCCAGATCTGATATCCACATCTCCGGATCTCCGGATTTGACCTATCTGTCATGTCCGAACCCAAACCTTAAATCAGCGCCCATCCCCTTATGGTAATCACCTGTCTCTGGACTTCCGAACATCCAGATCCGACCCACATCTATCTTCCTTGCCTTTTCCCTTTGTATGTTCCTTCTCAAGTTAGTGTCATATCCCGTGTTCCGGACCCGGACCTATCACGCATTCATCTCCGGACATCCGGATCCGACCCGCATCTATCTTCAGTGCCTTATCCCTTTGTATGTTCCTTCTTGAGTTAGACTTCCTCATTTTCCGTACCTCGTTTCATTTCCGGCTTTATTTTCCTATGTCTTCATCTCTGTCTTCATTTACTATTTTCCGATAGACTAGTGTTTGACTTTTCTACATCCTCCGTCCACAGCCTCGCATAGCTTCGGACTGCGCTGACTGACTCTCCATTAAGTCCTCTGTAGTATATAAACTCTGTAGAATCTTTGTACTTCCTCAGTCTGAATATTACACATATTAGTCCTCGCACTAGTCTTCACACTAAGTCCTCGTAACAGTTCTATTCCTCCGACTTAGTAATCATCCATCTCAGGCCTAGGGAGGAATTCCCTAGGCCGGAGCTCCGCTCCTCCGCTCCTCCGCTCCTCCGCTCCTCCGATCCTCCAAGTTTCCGGAACTTTCCCGTGGTCCTCCGGACCTATTCTACTTCAGACTTTGTCCTTGCAGCCTTTCCTCTGTTTGCTTCTACTCAGGACAAGTCCTGAGTAGCCATTACACATATCCCCGTCAGGACGAAACTCCATCGTAATGTCCGGAAGTTCCTCCAGAACTTTCCCGCACTCATCCGGAAGTTACTTGCACTCGTCCGGAAAGTCCTTCCGAAGTTTCCCACGCTTCTCCGGAAGTCCTTCAGACTTCACTGGACTTTCTCCGGACTTCATTCTGAAGTTAAGGGCACATACTCGGGTAAGGGGCGCAGCGCACGAGCTGAAGCCAAGCCCCTTGGAATCAGTCCTACCCTTTGTGCATGGTTTTAACAACATTCAAGGTAACACTCCATTCTCAAATATGTAGATATGATTACATGGGAATTTTACAGCAACCAAATGAGTCAATCCTGTCACCAGCTCGGCTTCACGCAATGGACGGCAATTTCTCCGCAAAACGATTGGACGGCTCAGGATCAGCTGATCCACGACTATTTCAGAGCCAATATTTTATTTCTGAGGCTGAGGTAGACCAATTCAAGGATGACGTTCAACGTTGAACTACCTCCACGGTAGACTCAACAATATCGAGTGCTTGCACAGAGAACTGACTGCAGCCAAAGCTGTGGACGACGATAAAATTACTGTGTTTGACCAGACTGGGATTTTTCTTTAAGCGTCACGGGCTCATCGAGTGTGTAGCTGAGATGAAGCGTAGTGGTGAACTGTACGTGTTTTAACTCTCATTTGTACTATGCTAATTGTTCACAAACAGTGTGAAATATGGTCTTGCCACAGTCAATAGACTGCTTGATGTCTGCGGCGCAGATCAGGCTATCGGACACGACATCGCATGCTCATCTCGCAAAACAATTGCGACAAGCTCTATCAGAGCCAAGGCAGCTGAACTAAATCTACAGGTTGTTGTAAATGCCTTCCACAGCTTTTCTCATGACCCTGCTGTCAGCTTCAAAATCACCCTTTATATCTCAATGGCCTAGGACTTGAAGACCTCGAGACTTGTGAACACATCTTCGCTAGTTCAAACAGTGCTGCAGTCTTGATCAGACATGCGTCATACTTCCATTGGATGCAGTTCCTTGACCTCCACTTCGATCAGTGGGACATGGACAGGTACTTTGACCTCAGTATGTCTTTTTGAGCGCCTAACAGCAATGGTTTCTGACAATTCCAGGCACATTTCTGTGCAATAACTATGTTCAAGCTCTTCAGATCATCAAGACCAACACACCCGTCCTCGAGGAATTCAAGCAGCTCCATAATCTTACGGATGCGGACTTCATAAGCTGGCGCAATGAGGAGCGTGATTACCTCAGCGAGGTTGCTACAGAACCTACTTCAGATACAATCACAGTGGCTTACGTTGAACAGCTTGAGAAGCTTCAATATGCAGAGTTTGTCTTTGCACCCTGTTTATTTACTTAGTTCTCATCGCATATTTTAGAGCAATTTATGGCCATCTCACTTCTGTACCTTTTCTGACGTACACTCCTGCAAATTTCACTCGCACCTCTGGGCTCAATGCCACTGCTCGCAACAATTCCAGAGCATTTGAATCTGAACATGCATCTGCGCTACACAAATATGAGCTGCAATTGAATGTTGTTGAAGACTTCGAGCATCGTCACAGCATTATGGAGTGGTGGCTACTGCATGACCCAAAATACGTGCAAGCAATTAGATATTCTCAGGAACGTCAATTTATTCATCCAGTTGAGGAATTGGAGGGCTTAGTTGTTCAGCGTCTTTTTGAGTTATCAAAGGCTAATCTTGCCGGCACTGGTAGGTGCTTACTGGACATTGAAATAAGTGATGTACTCATGGACTACTGCAGGCTACAAGATGCGAAAGTATATCTCAAAGGCCATCACACAACGTTCAGCTGCCATCCGAACGGCTTTGGAGAAGTACAATAGACTTGCACCCTTACAAAATCCACCATGTCCTGTACTCGACTATTCCGAAATTGTCAGATATGCATCTCTTGGTGAATTCTCGATTCTGAAGCACTCACACCACAATATCCTTACAAAACCATGGACTGTATCTGCTAATCGCAAGATGGCTGCGAAGTATTTCAAATTGGTACAATCACACGAAGAGATTGTATGGCTCAATGTCGAGATCAAACGCTTACAGAGTTGGGTCGAGCACGAGGACAGGACCATGTTGGAAGCTATTGATTCACTCCTCGCTGATGACCCAGATTCTTCACTCATAGCTGAGCTGAAGACATTGTATGCCAAGCGCCACCATATCAACAACAACCATTGCAAGCGACTCCAACAAATTTACGCACTCGACAGATACACAGGTGAATGTCTTCCTACAGACCACACAGTCATTGCACCCAATGGAGACAGAGATGACGAGGGTAGCGTGAATGGTCCTGAAGATGATGCTATGAACGAGGAGGCCATGAGACTTGAAGATTTAATGCCGCATTCTTTGTAACTTTCGTACTGTTAATTCTATGTCACATTGCTTTGATTATAGATTCCTGTGTCCTACCATCCATATTGGCATTGCAAACTCTGTTATCGAAAACTAAGACTTTAGAAGCAAGTTGAGCTCTGCGCTGACCCTTTCTAGCACATTTAATTGAGCCCCATTTGCAAATCTTAATTGAGCTTGAGCTGGGAGACTGATACTACTCATTATAACTAATTTACATGATAATCCAGATGGTTAGGGACAGGATCCAGCTCAACAGGGAACAAGCAAGGTGACATAGACAACATTGAGTAAAACAACAGCGAAGTGAGCACAGTCAAGAAGTAAGATGAGTCTGTTTGTTTGGTAATCAGTGTCGCACTTACCAAACAAACAGACTCATCTTACTTCTTGACTGTGCTCACTTCGCTGTTGTTTTACTCAATGTTGTCTATGTCACCTCGCTTGTTCCCTGTTGAGCTGGATCTTGTCCCTAACCATCTGGATTATCTTGATCTTCAAGGAGAAATTGTAAGTTTATCATGTAAATGATTCGAGCTACTGTTGAATCTGTTTTTCAAGAAAGATCACTTCAATATAAAACTATCAGTAGCATTCGAGTTCTTAAAGAAACCAGGACACTTTTGCACATTCTCTCACATCGTTACCGCTGTTTGGTCTTCTTGTCCTCTTGAGACCGAGGCTGAGGTGGCCACAGTGACCATTATCCATGATGTCTTGCTTAGTCGGCTTGCGCCACTTGTCCGTCAGCGCTGGTTCTGCTGGGATAAGGTCAAAATACCCGAAAGAATGCTTCAAAGTATGTATGATTCACTTGCAGCTTGGATAAGTTTGTTTTAACAGTTGTGCGGCAGGAATAGCAGCATTAGACCAAAATTCTATCACTTCCTCTGAACATGTCCAACCAGATGGTTTCGTATTTCCAAATCCCTCAAACTCACTCAATGTTCTCCACTCTCATCAGACTCCTGACGACAGTATCACGTCTTTCACATCCAAGTCATTTGACTTCACATCTTCGTGGTCTAACACCATCCATTCTAGTGACTCAACTCTCCCTACATTTGGCAGCCCAAATTTCACTTCTACGCCATTCCCTCGACCACCTGCACTTCCTGTGTTCAAGGGCCATGATCTCGCTGAAGCAAGCGGCACCCTATGCGTGTCACACAGCCTAATGACACTGGTTATCGTGTCCGTATACTACCAGGCAGCACGAGTTCCCTCACGATACCATCACGCTCTTTCGTCTTAGCAACCCAGCCGCCAAGTGCTGCTGTGAAACATGCTACTGTAAAACGTGCTACTCATATGACAGAAGATCACATTCTTTCAGGTGGTCCGAGTCCCCTTATGCCACCATCACGACCTTTCGTGCCCACATCCCCTGCTGTAAAGAAACTAACGGCTCAACCAACTTCTTCTGATGCGAAGGAATCACGCAAATGCCACAATGTGGGTGTTCTGACCCTGAGAAATGCCCTGACACTAACGGATTCTGACAGGAAAAAAAAAACAGCTGGTCGGTGATGGGACGGGAAATGCAGTGCAAATGAAAACCATGTTGCACGGCCGTGAGGACAGAGTATCAGTAACTAACCACATTTACCTCATAACATCTGATACAGGTCCTGTTCGGTCGACTCGCAATGTGGGTTATGACTGTATCTGTGGTGAGATTGACAATGCACTTGTTGGCCTTTCCCTTCACCACAGTACTATGAGCGAGATCTGGCGCTGCATCCAGCAGGTTGAGGGATACCGAACAAACAGTTGGAAGGCCATACTTGTGAAGCTTGATATCCCAGAAGAATGCCATCACAACGTGCTTCAAATTATGGCTAGTGCAAGTTATGACCGTAAACTTGGTGAGTTCCACCCATTCGGACTCTGTTTCAACCTCACTAACCTTCAATTTAGTCTAGACTTAGTTGTTTTGCTTCGCTCCATTCTCGTGTATGTTCTAGCGACATTGATTATTTGGACCACTCATATTGCTTCATTCACAATACTTCGCTTCACTTCATGTATTTGTCCCTGGGCTTGAAATGTATAAAATGTTGCTGCCATTCATTCCTTGAGTTAATTCCGATTCAATGGCTCCTCATCCGACTCCTAAATTCGTCGAGTGTGCGCGCAACTGACGGTGACCCAAAAGGCTCAACAGCGTGCCCATGACATTGACACTGCCAAGGAGTCATATGAAGCAGAGGCTGCTGACATAGCACAAAAACATGGCCGGTGAGTCTCCATCATAAATATCCTATTGCTGATAAATATTAATTGTCCTGTAGATCAATCAAGTGGACCAGAAACCAACTGTTTCTTCGCAGTCGCATGCTGCAGAAGACCAGAGGTGTTAACTCCTGGAACGCATTTGTCAAAGCCGAACTCAAGGCTGAAAATGAAGGTTAGTGTACCAATTTAATTTACGAAGTAACACTGGTGCTCATGAATCTTTCCTTAGGCATAGGCAGAGGTGATCGCACAAAACTTACAGCCTTCATTGCAGAAAATAAGGCCACATTACTCCGAGATTATCGCAAGCTAACCTTCACTGAAAAGCAAGCTTACAATGCTTGTGTTCTCGAGGATCGCCAAGCAAAGAACTGTACTGCACGTGTGAACCCAAAGGCCATCAAACATGATGTGAATGCAGCATTCACATTCATGGATTGTGAGGTATGTCGTGCTATTTTGATTATCCTTTCACTTCTCTCGCCACCACTGTGGCATCTCTCGTATATTTGTTTGCCCTCTGTGGCATCTCTTGTTTACTCGTTTGTCTCCGCCATCTCCGCCATCTCTTATTTATCCATTTACCATCCGAGACACACTACTAATGTAACTGAAATTTATTCTCAGTGGATGGCTCTTCATGCACGCACTGGTCTGGAGGGGTTTTATGTGGCAGTACGCGGCAGAATTGAAGATCTCGCAGAACCGAAGATATTTTTTACAGAGAAATCTCAAAAGTTTGTTCGGGATGTCCTAGGCATTGAGCCACAGCATCTCGGACTGAAGCTGGAAGCATTCGTGATTAACAAGCTTGGTATGTTGTCTTTGCCTTCATCTTGTAGCCTACTGATTGTCCCAAAGATGAACATGTAACACTTAACCGTCAATGGCCGCTCAATAAACTCATTAGTGAATGCCATGAGCTTATCCAAGATAACCTAGGTATGTGCTTCGTGGTGTCACCTCGTGCCATCACTAACATAATTCATTGAAGAATTTATCTTAATGGAGAAGAATATGTCAGGCAAAGTCAAAATGAATTACACGAACTACAAGCGCGCTATAGTAGAACGTCACGGTGTTGAGCTAACTAAATGGCCTTTACCAGTGGGGGTGAAAAATCCCTCTAAGGTTGGTGGAAGAGCCCATGTTCAGGCTTTGTTGAATGCTCTCAAGTCTGAATCGTGCAAGTGGGTCTCTTTCTCAGATGAAGAGCTTGTCAAGAGGATGAAGGATAACCGGGCTCAGCATGCACATGGGGAACAAGTCTATGTACAAAGGAAAGCCAGGGCTCGTGTTTCACAACCTAAGAGCAAAGGCACTGTCAACACCGATGATGAGTCAAGCTCAAGCTCAAGTTTGAGCTCAGACTCTAACTCTAACTTAGACTCGGACTCGGACTCGGACTAGGCGCCTTCTAGACACATCAATAGGATAGTAATGGTAACAGTACTAGGCGCCTTCTAGACACATGAATGAATAATAGAAGCTCATTTGATTAAAAAAAGTTTCACGTCACATTAAGAAGGCCATGATGGCGGTAGTGTGGAACCTGGGCAAGGACACATCACATGAAGAGTAAAAGCAAGCAGCAGCAAAGACCGATCAACGAAGTTAAAGTAATGATGGCACAGATGAAAGGACCTGCGTGAGACCATAGAGGATCTCAAAAATGACATCAGATATCCATTGAGAGAATGAGCATTGAAGGAAGGCGGAGATTTGGACTGTAAACAAGCAGGATAGCGAGCATGTCGTTGAGAACGATGTGGAGGGTGAAGGAGAGAGGCGTTAGAGGCATCAGAAGGTGTAGGGACGGCAACATACCTTGTAGCTCCTGGCAAGAGATTATCCAGGGCAATGAGAAGGAAAAGAGAGTCACAGAATGTGAAGGATGTCGAAAGAGCTATCAGACGTCCACTAGGGGCCTGAAAACAAAAAGAACAGCCAGAATTGGACCAGGAATGAGCGGGATAGCGAGCACGTCATCGAGGATGATGTGGAGGATGAAAGAGAGAGGCGTGGGAACCATCAGAAGGCGTAGCGGCAGCATTGTACCTGCCACCGGGGAGATGTCCGGGGAGATGACAAATCAATAGCCTGTTTATATTATATCCTAATTTACCCGCCTCTTGATATTCCTGAAGTCACTGCTGAGTACTGCAGCATAGGTTTACCCCCCTCGTTAGTAACAAACATGTTATACTATATACGTTACTAACAAGTGTGGGAACAGGTGTCACTCAGGTGTTCCAATCATTTCCCATGGCCACATCGGGACCTCAAGAGGTTTGAGGAGGCCATATGGGTGGTCGTTAGTGGCTTTTGATGTTTGGCATGTTTGGCAAGACTCATAGAAGACTTTCACATCACTTGCTATCTCTTTCCACCAGACGTTCTCTTGTAGATAGATGAGGGTCTTCGCGGAGCCTAGGTGGGCTAATATTGAGTGTGTGTGTGATATGAGTACCTTGCAAATGTGCTGGTCTCCAATACAGATGTCTGGGATGCATAGGATTCACTGGTTATCATGCTTAAGGAATATCCAGTCATTACTTATCTCAAAATTCTTAAAACTCTGAGGTTGATCTAGCATTTTGGAGAAGAAGCTGTCTTCCTTGTATCACCCTGCTATCCTTTTGTGTATGTCGGTGGAGGGATCACCAAGAGCAATGATGGACATCAGAGTAGGCAGGGATTCTGAGAGAATGTCTCTTGCGGCTGTTTCAGCTGGGTCTGAATTGTTGGCTTCTGACCTTCTTTGATCAGAAGTCTGGGCCATGACATCATTTACATCATTGGTCTGGGTGCCGACATGCTACATCAGGTTCTTGGAAGTATCCGAAATTACCTGGTTCTTTGGGTCTGTCTGGGCAGTGACGTCTGAAGTCATGTGACTTTGTGGGTGTTTGTTTGCCTTAGAATCTTTCTGCTTTGTCCTTTGTTTTCCCTTTACTAACCTGCCCTCCAGTGATTCAGCTGGGGCTCTACCCAGCTTTAGAGTCACTTTATTGATCCTACTTGCAGGTGCATACTCAATCCAGTTAGTTGGCTGATTAATCCCTTGCTCAGGTACATCATTGGCCTCAATGGCTGCACCTGGCATTACCACCACATCCAGCAGTTCCCTGTCAGTCACTTCAAGTTGGCTGTCATCAGCACCACTTCTGGCCACATGTTGTTGTGCGATGCGAGCGGATCGTCTTGCCTCTGTCGCACCTAGGAACAGGGGAGTTCCAGTGTAGACCAGCGCCATCACAAAATGTAGGAGTAGTGACTTAGGTATATCGTCCTCTTTGACGCTAACATACTCACTGGCTGAACGCACAGTGCCTTTAGGTTTATTGCTATACATTCATGATAGGGCATTGGCTAATATGTTGTCCTCACCAGGCAGGTACGTGATCTCGAAGTTGAACTTGCTGAGCGCTTCTAACCAGCGCGCTTGTCTAGGGGAGAGCTTCAACTGGGTGGATATCCATTCGAGGCCTTTGTGGTTGGTGAATATCCGAAACTTCAAGCCAATTAGTAGGTGTCTAAATTGTTTCAGTGATTCGACAATCACTAACAATTCCTGTTCATGCACTGGATAATTCTGCTGCGCAGAGTTAAACTGTCTGGACCAAAAGACCATGACACCAGCAGTCTTTGGATTCAACCCTTGCGACAAGACACCACTCGCACCAGTCAGCGATGCATCAGTGGTCAAATTGATGGGTAGAGTGTTGGCAATCGCATTGGGAAGGTCGATGGCTTGTCGATGAACGTTACAGTGAGTTTCCACACAGGCTTTCACAAGATTGAATGCCCATTGATCGGTGGGGTTCCAGGACCATTTGGTGGTTTGTGCTGCCACTTTTGAGAGATGCTGCATATCCACGCGCACTCCCTCACACCCAGAGGCCAAGTAACCAACCAATCCGATAAATTGCATAAGGAGCTCCTTCGAGGTAGGTGTCTTCCAACTCACAACTTTATCGACCTTATGAGGGTCAAGACAGATACCAGCATCATCAATAACGTGACCCAGAATGCAGAGTTCCTTCTGGAATAGTTGCATCTTGGTTCACTCAGGTAAAATTGGTGCTCTCATAAAGTGTCTATAACGATTCTAACATGTTTAACATGGTCCTCCGCGGTGTCTGAGTAGATCACAATGTCGTCAAGGTACACGACCATAAACATGCCTATGTATGGGCCAAATATATGGTTCATTAAAGACTGGTACATTGCCCCAGCATTGCAGTCCCCAATTTGCATAACATGGCTGATCATAGTCCCGTCAGGGGTCGCAAACAATGTTTTGTGCACATCTTCAGGCATGATGTGTATCTGCTCGTAGGCATCCTTGCCATTGAGCAGCAAACAGAATGGCTTCGACGACACATTGTGTAAGATGGTGTCAATGTCTGGCAACGGGGAGGTGAGTTTACGAGTGTTCTTGTTTCATTGACGGGTGTCTAGTACAGTACGTAGTTTAAGTGACCCATCTTTCATGGTCTTCTTCATCATGATCATAGGGACAGCATTAGTCCCGCTGACAAACTCCCATCATTTGGTCCAGATGTAGTGGTTGCACTTTGCTCTCCACAGAGGGCACATCACTTCAGGACACCTAGACTGATGCCACGAGTACACCTTGTTTTCATCAATCAAAGGTATGACATGGTTTATGTTTCGCAGAGGTGGGAGAGGGGTCTCATGAGCCTCTTTGCAGATGTCCTTGGCATAATCAAGCAGCTCCTTCTGATAAGTCTTGATTAGATTGGTGTCTGGGCTGGCGCCCTTAACTTCTAAAACTTGGGTTTGCATGCCTCTAATTGGTAATGGTATGACACTTCTAATCTTGATTTCTGGTGGGTTGAATCCTAATAGAACCTGGTGCTGGAACAGAAACAGCATTCCGAGGATCACATCGTAAGCTTCCAGGTTCGTGATGTCAAAGGTATGAGGACTGCTGATATCTTGGTACTTCAGGTTAACAGTCGTACTTGCTTTCACAGTGCTCCGGGACCCAGATACCACTAATTGCAGCGGAATTGGCTTGTCCAGTAGAGTGTAAGTGAGTTTCAGTTGGTCGACGACAGTACTTGATATGAAATCTGTTAGGGAGCCGGAGTCTAATAGCGCGCTGCATGGCTGGTCATTCACCATTACAATAACAACAATGGAATGTGGAAGTATTTGGGTGGTTGACTTAGGCTTTGATGTGTTGCACTGAAGGGTACGAGTGTCTGTGTTAAGACCGTGCACAAAGGGTAGGACTGGATCTGAGGGGCTTGGCTTCAGCTCGTGCGCTGCGCCCCTTACCCGAGTATGTGCCCTTAATTTCAGAATGACGTCTGGAGAAAGTCCAAGGACATCCGAAGCGTGGGAAAGTTCGGAAGGACTTTCTGGACGAGTGCGAGAAACTTCCGGATGAGTGCAGGAAAGTTCCAGAGGAACTTCCGGAAATTACAACGAGGTTTTGTCCTGATACAGATACATGTAATGGCTACTTAGGACAAGTCCTGAGTAGAAGCAAACAGAGGAAAGGCTGCAAGGACAAAGTCCAAAGCAGAATAGGTCCGGAGGACTGCGGGAAAGTTCTGGAGGAACTTCCGGAAACTCGGAGGATTGGATGAGTGGAGGATCAGAGGAGCAGAGGAGCAGAGCTCTGGCCTAGGGAATTCCTCCCTAGGCCTGAGATGGATAATGACTAAGTCGGAGGACTAATATGATATTCAGACTGAGGGACTACAGGACATATACAAGAGTTTATATACTAAGGAAATAATGGAAAGATCAGTAAGCAAGAGTCTGAGGCTATGTATGAAGCATAAGCAAAGTTATCAAGCGCGAGTTGAAAATGAAGCATAGGTTTAACGGATCAGTAAGCATACCGGTAGTAAATATAACCAAGATACCAAGGACAAGAAATACCGAATAGAGGAATAGGCTGTGTTAACGTTATATGCACAGGAAATGAATTAAGAAGCTTATCATATATCGGATCGGAAGCGGATCAGATCAGATCAGATCAGATCAGAGGTCCGGACGGGAAGCATGGATATATGGGATATAACATTAGGGTGATGGGACAAAGAATGAATGATGCAGGCTAGCTGCAGCGGTATGGAGGTCTGATGTACAGAAGTAAAGGGATCTGGATGGGTGGATATGCAGAGGTGCAGGGATCCGGACAGATAGAGGACTGGAGACATGGATAGGGCGTCCAATGTTCATGCACAGACTCCGTTTGGGTACCCTTTAGTTTTGATTTGTTATCAGTTCCCTGTGATTCTGAGGGGGCTGCTTCGCTCGGCACGTCTGTGGAAAGTCATCATCTTCTGTGTTGGCATGGAGAACTGACTCCTGGGACTGGGTAAGCTGACTACTTGTTAACGTGACACCTCCCCACATTAGTCGTA